TGTTTGTGTGTTTGTGTGTGTGTGTCTGTGTGTGTGTGTGTGTGTGTGTGTGTGTGTGAGTGTGTGTGAGAGAGAGAGAGAGAGAGAGAGAGAGAGAGAGAGAGAGAGAGAGAGGGAGGTACAATTTAGAGCCACCCACCGAACACCTGCTCAATCATTGCAACTTGAGCAAGCAAGCATGTGGAAGCAGCTCTGCAGCTTTGCCATTCATTTCTAATTTTCAAATCAATCTTATCACCATCCATAGATTAATCATGGATGTTTATGGCTGAATTAGTTTTTTCATCATCATTATTTTAGGACAAAAAAAAGGCTGTCACATGGTCAGCAATGAGTGCTTCTGCAGGAACTGGCGTGTTTGTGCTCTCCTTGATGTCCATTCCCATCTGTTACTTGTTCAACTCACTCGTCTACAACAACAGGTGAGTGTGAGCTTGTAATTCCGGCTTGCTTTGATCAGATAAGTGTTATTTATTTTCGTGTTGGTAAAATGAGCTCTTCGCTGTGTATAACCGGCTCCACTTGTTGTCCCTATAGCGCCGAAGCCTTCTTTTTTGCTGGATGTGCAACATTCATCTTTCTGGTCATATCTGCCCGTTTTATACTCAGGAGAAAAGCTCCATTAGACTCTCTTTTCTATGGTAAATATTCATGTAAAGTGTTTCTGTACCTCACATGAAACTTCAACCATGCACTCAAAACATAAATATACACTTGTTGTGTAAATTGCAGTTGTCCTGATGCAAAATGTAAATTGTAGCTGCCGAACTGATCCATCAAATGCTTTGTGGCGTCCAAAATTTGCTGCTAAAATAAATGCATCAATGTGTTCAGTGTATGCAGTCCATGCGTTCTTCAGTGTGGTGAACTTGATCATCGGACTGGAGCAGGACAACATCATTGATGGATTTGTGACTTTTTACCTGAAAGAGGCAAGCTGGGTGTTTCCACTGCAATGCTTGAGTTCATGTTTTCTCTGACTTATAAAGACGGTTCTCCTTTTCAGGCAGATCCACACATTAATACAGCACATGGTCACATGATGTCCTATTGGGATGGCTGTGTGCATTATCTGATGTATCTCCTGATGATTGCAGCAATTACCTGGGGGTGAGTGTTGCACTGTCCACGTGCTGGACCTACTCTACTGTACAGTATGAACAATTTGTGGTTTTCAGAGACAACTTCAGAGCTATTGGACTCTACTGGGTAGGGTCTTTTGTCATGCGTTCCATTATCTACCTTCTTGGGAATGCTGTTGGTAAGTACAGTAGAGTATAATTTTTACATTTTTTCATATATTCAAAAATATTTAAACATGCTAACTATACTATCAGGCTAACATTGTTGTACTTTGTCCATATTGGGATTTATAGGTACCATCACATTTTTTATTTGGTATTTCTACCTATTGGCGTATTCATGATTATTTTTTCTTTATATGAATTGTGATCCTTAAATGATTTTCTGTCTTTTCCAGGAAAATATGGGACTGAAATGGGTCCTCTCTTCTTCCTTCACTTACTGTACATCGCAGTGTCTGTTTGGGCGTGTTTTCGCATCTTCAGCCACCCTTCCACACAAACTGTTGAGTGGAAGGTAAGATCTATTTCCTGATTAAACACAAAAGGCCCTACCCCGTCCTCACAAATGCACTTTCCAGGCTACTTTTCTTTGTAAACCGGCGCACATATGCTCAGTGTAAAAACTGGCACATCTTAATTTTCGTGTTGGGGCATATCTAGTTTCCTGTGTTTGGGAATTTGATGGATCGCTTTGTCCACTGCTGGGTTTTCTGTCGGACCGTGGGCTTTTTCTATGACATGCTGAATCACTGCAGAAATCAATTCATTGAATGAATTATTATAATTATTATCATCTTAAATATGTTTTTAAAAGCGCCCTCCCCCACCTACTGTGGCACAACTATGGGGTAGGCAGGGTGGAATTGTAGCAACGAAACACACAACGCAAGTAGAGATGTTCTTGCAGTTCGTTTTTTAATGAACTTTGTGCGCTGATCTCCTGCATCGACATGCAATGTAGCTTGTGCGTCTTTCTCGTGCACTCCATTTAAAGGGAATGAAGGGAGGTGCTTCCATTGGATGCGAAACAAGTCGGCTGTGATCCTTCCCACAATTCTGCACAACTGCGCAAACATCCCTTGCTAGCTGCGCCCATCTAACAAAACACCAAAAGAAAGGAAACTCCATCCATGCGCAGTTATACTGCGCTTTAATTTAAAAAATGGCCCAAAATGTACAATGCCAGAATAGGAAATGTCACTATTGAGCAAATCAGTACACCATCGCGATCCAATTAAAAGAAGGCATCTTCAAATTGTTTCCTTTTCATTAAGTTATACTTGATTTTAGATTTTTTATTTTTTTTTTAATCTATCAGACATTAATGAAGTAGCCTGTGACGTGTATGTAATAAATATCTCTTTCTCCACCAGAGCATACAGGAAGCTCAGAGGATGACATTGTTCCGCAGACCTATGGACTTGTTTTTCATAATCTACCTCATCCCAGCTATGTCTTTCTGTGTCTTCAGAGGTCTGGTAAGAAACACAAATATAACTGAAGGACTTAAACACATCTCCATTAGTCTAATAGTTGGTGTTTTAGGTTGCCCTGGACTGTTCCAACACATTGTGTCAGCATTACGCGCAACATTATGAGCCATACGTGAAAGACCCATCTGCCTACCCTAAAATACACGTAAGTGTACATGGGTGTTATATGGGGTGTCCCAAAAGCCACTACAGCATCAGTTTGAGTACCGCTAGCAAGTTTTTTTAAAACAGGATCTGTTCTTCACAAACTATGCAGTGGAAGGTATGCTCCTACTATCACTGACCAAACTCCTCGAGTGGGCTGGTGATAAAGTTTTAACCATCTGGACTTCAGGTTGTTCACAAGTTTCAGGTGGAAGATTATTATGCTCACAAGTTGCATGGCAAAGATGTAGAGCTCTTCAAATAATCCACTACATACATTTTTGTTGTGGCTGAGATCCAATGCAACCCTCTGGAAAGACTTTCCATGGGTTTGTGCGAACGCTGTTCAGTGTTTTAATCAGTGGTTACAGGATTAGGCTTTCTACTGCTTGGTTTGTCAAGAGCAGATCCTGCTTCAAGAAACTTGCTTTGGATACCATAAATTGTACTTTGCTTTAGAGCAGTGTGCCACCCATAAAGAAAATCTTGTTGCCAGGCAGTACTTTTACAATGCTGGCAATATAAGTGTCCAGAAAGTGCAAAGCCTGTGCTGTCAAAAGCTGCCTTCACGTCTTTCCAAATGATACAAGAAACAAAACAGGAGGGCAGCATATAGTGGCTTTTGGTACACAATCCATGTACTAATATTGTACATTTCACTCTAGTCCTATGGCCTATTTCACAAGCAGTAAATCCTATAATTGTTTGTCAGATGCTGGTGAGCATGCTGTACTCAGGCCCATACTACATCATGACTCTCTACAGCTTGTTGGTTCCAGGATGTGAGTGGATGCTGGACCTGACTCTTGTACATTCAGGTGCTATAGCACAAGTAGGTACTATTTAAAATGTGTTTTTTTTTTTTTTTTTTAAAGAACGTGGCTGCAAAGAGGTCTGGCTCTCTTTAGTAGAAAGTATTAAATGGTATCTATCATTTTTTTGTACATAGAGAGGTCAAGTAATCTAAACTTGATGCATTACAGTTCACTTAGTAACAAACCAAAAATGATGGTTGTGAAAATGTGCAATGCAATAATTGGAAAAATTGTTGCAAGGCATGCAGTAAAAGCTAAGTTAAATATTTTTCATACATACTGCACTGTTCCAACTGCTACATGGCAGTGGCAATGGTCAGAATTAACCAAGTACAAATACAGTACTTAAGTTTTCCAGATATCTGTACTTCTAAAAGCACTTAAACACAGAATGTGACAATGTTGCCCAATCTGGAGATAAGTGATCTGGCCAAACATGCTCTGTAGTGGATGCGTGATTAACATGAAGTGTTTTTGCACGTAAACTAAACCAAAAAGTTGGTCCAAGGAATTAGAGTGGCAGTGTAACCCAAAGGGAACAAAGCAGCTGTTGTGTTAGAGCTGCAGGCGGACACGTCACTCACTGGCTGGATGAAGACGGAAGCTGACTTCAGACCAGGTGGAATGCTGGTATTGGTGGTATTCGTATAAATGTCAGCTGTTGAACAGAGCTAAAAATAGGACCGCTGATGCCCTGACAACCATGGTTACTATGGGACATGTCCAGTGCCACCCTTCTGACCACCGAATCAAACCCCCACCCCCAATCAAAGGGTGATTTAAAAGAAACACTTTACAATATGGCTCTACATATGAAAGGGTTCATAAATAATTGCTACAGTATCTTAATCATTACTTGGTGTGTGAATGCTTAAATAAATGTTTGAGAACGAGCGGTTCCAAACGATTAGTTGCGAACGTATTGTACTTGAAAGTTAAAAACAATTGAACTGTATTGCATTAAAAATTTTTACATCACTGTAGCATATTAAATTCAGTGAGACTTTGCACACCACTAGGGGAGCTCTTGTACATCTTTGAGAGTCATTCACCGACTTTGCAGTATAAATTGCACTGGTAACTCAATTGGTTCAATATTTACAATTTTTGTTGATACTGTAACTGTGCATATATGATTTATAGTTTAATACATCAGTCTTAACTTGTATCATGATACAATACCCTAACTATAAAGTGCTGTTGTAACAAATATATTAAATCCACATTTCTTTTGGGATCACAAAGGTAAATGCCTAAGCGAACAAATTAATGTGGAAATTTGCTTTTGACCTAATTCTGGTGTCAGGTTACTGTTTTTTCTCAAATAGTGCCCTTCGTTGTCTCACTCGATATATATAATACAGTATATTAATAGACACTCTGCCCCTTGAGGTGTGTAAGCCACATCAATTATTAACACATACATAAACACCACACCTCAAATAGGTGACTCTCCCTCCCCAGGAAAATATTAACAGGCATTGCCGCTAGGTGGGTGTAATTACTTTTACTATGACATTTGATACCATGGTGTATTGCTACAGATATTAGCGCACATAGCCCCTGCAAAGCTGACGTTCACATTGAATTTAGAAATTGTATTTATTTATGGAAAAATAACGTTTTGTACTGTTTGTGTCGTATTCAGTATTGTTTATTATTAAGATAAAAATGAGTAGTTATTGTACAAATCAGTGGCGGGCAGTGCATTTGGTATGTGGACCTTCAGTAGGGACCCACCCAAATGAATCTACCTCTCAATACCAATACTTTATCTGAAATGAATGGAAGAAAGAAAGAAAGAAAGAAAGAAAGAACTTGGCTTTCACTGATCAACTACAGTCATCAGAGGAGAGAAAAATGCTGACATCATCCAAGCAAATTTGAAATCTGAACGGTTAAAAAAACAATACCGTACCATTGGATACATAGTTAACGTTTTGGCCGCCAGCCCTCCTGATTCTGGAGAACTTGGAGAGATTAGATGGACATGGCAACACAGAGGCTCACATCCGATTGGATAATAATTGAAGCATGTATATGTACTGGAAGCAGTGTGGCCAAGAGAAAAGCTATGAAATGAAGAAGATACCATTGGGAATAAACGAAAAAAAAAAAGAAAGTATTAGAATTTAGATAAATGCCTCTTTAACAATAGAATGCAATAAATACAGTACAATGAGGTCCCTTTTCTTTATTTCCTCCCTCTCTTTTCCCACCAGGCCCAGTTTTCTCATATCGGCGCCTCTCTTCACACACGGACGCCATTCTCTTATAGAGTTCCTGTTGCCAACCAACCTGTGTTTTTGCTGGTTAATATCTTGTATGCTGTGGTGCCTCAGGCTCTTTGCTACCGCTGCACTACCAGGCCGGCCTTCTTCCTCAAGGGCATGCCAGACAAGAAAAATGCATGAGTGTTATAGAGGAGCTACAGTCTTTTTTGGAAAGGCGAGTGTAGTCAATACACTGTAGCAGCTTAAGATGAATTACCACATTATTTTCCAAGTTAATGAGGGTTTAGTGATGGAAAGTAAAACACTAAACGCACGCTTTCATACTGGAAGCATTGTAGTGGGGTGGGAAGCAGGAGTCTTACAGTGACAGAATAATAGCAAATTACCGTAGATACCTGCAAGATACATGCATTCTTACAAAAGTAAACTCTCCTCACATTTTTGGAACTATTTATTACATCTTTTCATGGGACAACACTGAACAAATGACAGTTTTGAAATTTGGTGTTATCATTCTCTCACTCTCATCCTAATCACTGAACTAAGTTCAATATGGCACTTCATGGTAAAAAATCTCAGAAGGGCTGAAAAAAAGAATTGTGACCAATTCGTACATTTTCACTTTTTTTTGCTAACATTTACGACATTAATAGCTGTTTTTTGAGGTTCTCTGAGGGAACAATTAGTCAATACCGTTATACTGCCTATACAGTATACTGACTAGATTACATTGTGTAGCAAATTTTCATTTCATCACTGATGTCCAATGAAGGATATAATGAATTGTGCACAAAAATGTGAGGGTGTGCTCATTTGTGTAAGATACAGTATTTCATATAATCATGCGAGGCAAATAAACAACATTGCCTGTATATTATATATTTTTGAAGACTGAAAGCAATCTGTCTGCTGTTTGTTTTGGAAAATCAAGTCATAGTTTGGAAATAATTTTTTACTTATTTGAATTCAAGAAATGAGCTGGAGTGTGTTTTATTTTTTGTGTTCAATGCTTTGTTGATAAACTTGGCTCATATTTGACTTGACCTTTTACAGTATGAAGTGTACAGTGCTTAACATATTTATTAGACTACCACTCAATGTCAGGTTGAAGCCACACAGCTGCCACACATTAGCAGCAGTGGTAGTTATCAAAATAATTTTTACCAAAAATAATATTACTCGAATAAGATGTTGAATTACGGTTATCTACTTGCCTGAGCAGAAAAACATGTTTTGGGAATTGATTGTTATGCGTAATTCCTAACTTCTCAGAGTAGCCAATGAACTCAATGTTCCTATGAAAGTATGCAACGTATGACCCGTACGCTACAATTTTTTTTTATCCAGGCCAATTAGCATTATTATGATCAAGATTCCTGAATATTTGATGCATTGATAACTTCTGTCCTAAAATGTTTTAATTACAAATATGTCATTCATTTATGTAATTAAATAATTGGTCTTTTTTAATTTACTCTAAATGATAAAGAAATATACATGTATTTTCTCTAAATAACAAAATTTTAAATGATGCAATTTAAAAATAGCACGTCGGTATGTGAACTGTTTCTTGACGTCGGAAGGAGTTATTTCTCAACCCGGAAGTACTTCTGTCAGTCAGGCCTGAAATTAATACGCATGTAGATACGATATGAGCTGATTTAGGAGCAACGATTCCGTGAAATCGCGTAAATAATGCGTCGCATTGTAAAACCTTACATGCAATAACTTGATATTTACTCATATTAAAGAATTCGGGCACGTAAACGTGAGTTTAGTCGCTGGTTAGCTATCGTTAGCTGTGATGGCAGCATCTATTCCTCCATTGATCTGTGCTCCTCCTTTAAGGTGAGTGTTTTTCTGTAGCTTGTGTGAGAACGTAATGTTACGTCACGAACTAGGACTATATCCGTTCTGAAATGGTGATGTGTACTGTATGCTGTTTGAATTGATATTCTAATAAATAATAGAGCTGCTTGGCGCTATCGACCAACACCAAGACCCTTAGACATTCCCAAAGCTTTTTGTCCCTTGACAATCACTTCTTAAAGAGTTGTCTCGTAATTTAATCGTGAGACTGTCATGTGCATGTATCTGGAGTGCCAATATACTTCATCCACATCATGTACACCGACAAGTATCTGATCAGCACTAGTGCACGCTTCGAATAATTCTATATATTGTACATTTGTATGATAAATGTACTGTATACTGTACAGTGCTTTACACTGTTTTGTGTTGTCTTGGTCCCACAGAACTATGCTGAAGTAAGTTGAGGAGATTCTTTTAAACTTCAGCAATACTTTGCCACTGCCTTGTATTTTGGTACAAAGGAACCATGTCAAAGTGAATCCGAGAGTTTCATTGCGACAAAAAGTAGTGCATTACAGTCGGACTGGACGATTATGGAAAAAATAATAATTTCAAAAGTTCGGGCCGAATCCACAAAGAACGGTGGCCACTGATAGCATCTTTAATAGTTCTTCATTTGCACATGCCATTTGATCCGTCTTAACATCGTATTCACAAAGAACATGGCGCTAATGACATACCAGCGCAGACAGGCCCACAAAGTTTGACAGCTGAGTGCAGTTTGTACCTGTTTTCCTCTTTGATTGCACTCATGGCAACGAATAAATGCAGGCTTTCCACAACAACACCGTCGCAGGATGATGGAAGTTGGGAAGAGACTCTCACTCAATTCAAATCACAACTCAAAACGCACCTGTTTAAAACTGCCTACTCAACCTGTCATTGTGATCTGCCCCTTTCAATTTTTTGAAATTTCATTTTAATTTATTTCTCTCATTCCAATTTTTATTCTTTTATTAAACATAATGTAACATTGCGCAGCGTATTTGAGTGCCAAGAATGGCGCCTTCAAATAAATGCATTAGGCTATTATTATTATCATTATAATAGAAATATAAATTTATCAGAATGCAAGCTCGGGGTCCTGACCAAGGAGCTGTGAACGGGACTTTTATCTTACTCGCGCAGGCTGATTTGCCTTTTTGCAGTCTCTTTTCCTCTGTGAGATGCAGGGGAACTTTTGATCCAGCACACTGTAAATTAAATTTCCCCTTAAAGCGATTATATATTCAGTACACTAAATTAAATTGTGCCTAAGCTTCTGTAGTGGACACTACACTGAAAATGCGACCATTGTGGTTTAACTTGGTTTCTTCCATTTAATTCAGTTACAAGCAACGCAAGGCCGCCTCCAGGAAAGAAAGAAGAAAACGTAAACGACAAGCAATCGCCCGAACGAGAGACTGCGGTATGAAAACAACTTATGTTGTTTGGAATGTCTTATCATGCCAAACAGTAAACCCACACCATGTGTTGTGCTATAGCTGCACAAAGTGGAGCCGTTCTTGATCCCTCTGAGGAAATGGACGATGTGGATGATGAAGATGCCAGTCTTGTTGATGAGGAAAGGTGGGATACAGATCTGCGCATGGCCAAAAGCTTTTGTTACGCTGTACAAAATACTCAAAACTTGCGCCTACCAGAAGAAGCTTTGACACCCCAATAGCCAAACCGATTTGCGTCAGGTGGCATGTGAGTCATGTCTCACTTCTTTACACAGGCAACGGCTCCACGAAGAGTGGCTAGAGCGTGAGCGGATTGCGCAAGAAGAATTTCGTCTGAGGTCTGAGAGGGAGGAGGCTGCAAGGAAACGGAGAGAGGATGACGAGGTAATGCGATTTACATCATCCAGAATCAGATGACTGCCATAGATATTTGTAATACAGTGTCTCTTCACCATAGTAACGTATAGCGTTCTCAATTCTAATTTCCAAAAGCAATCTGTGGCTGAAAATAATCCCTCTTTTTTTTTCCATTTTCAAATACATATTCAAATACAAATCACAACTATCTATTGTATTGTCTCCACTCGCTCACCCCAATTGACCTCCAAAAGCAATGAAGACTTGTCTTCATGCAAGAGCCATCCATCAGTTGGATGTGTCTTCTCATGTTGAGGACTGAACCATTTAAACTCTTATTTGGCATACCGTGATGTTTACGTTTTGCTGCTGCGTCCACAGCGGAAGATAAAAGAGGAATGGGAGGCCCAGCAGAGGAGAGAAGAAGAAGAAAAAGAGCAAAAGCAGCAGGAGAAGCGCGACAGAGAGGTGAAAGGAGCCGTGGGAGGATAAAAGCGGAGAGAAATATATCCACTTCTACTTAATCTTCAGCATTGATGATATCCATTCAAAAATGCGATTCACGTTTTATTGTCATCAGAAAATACACTGACTGGCCGCCATATTCAGCGGACATATTATGAAATTCATTAGAAGAGCCATGTCAAAAAAGGTCTACAATGACAATAATGCTTATTTTGTTATCTGTCACTGTCAGGGAAGTATGAATGTGAAAATAATTGACTTTATTATTGTGTGATTGCTTTTTTTTATATACAAATGTTTGAGTCTTTCCTTGACTAAGTGGCACAAGCAGCAAGCATCCTACTCCTTAACAAAGATACTGTTGCGAAAGCCCTTTTCCAGCACCCCCAACTGTCACAGCGAGGACGTATCTTTTAACTTTGTGTTTTAAGTGTCTTTGAACCTTTGTTCCAAAAAGCTGCGAGGTACTGAAGTGAGCTAATTTTGTCAGAATTGTTGTTATCTACCCACAGTGAACGCGGTCTTAACAAGAATGTACAGATATGCTTCGCCTAAATTCACATTTTCACCTGACATCTCTTTACACCATTTGTAGGAGGCTGTTCAGAAAATGTTGGATGAAGCAGAACATCAGGTACTGACCAACTGTTCCATTTGGTCCCCTGAGTGTGTCATTCCATGCCAAATTATGAAAAGTAAAAATCAGCAAATTTTGTACCAAGCACACACTATATTCATTTGAATGAAACTTACTGTACGTGTTAATGGTGTTAGCATAACACTAAATCAAAACATTTTCACCAAATGTAACCTCTCACATGTTCTCAAAAACATAAAGGATTCACAGATGTAAAATTCTCTTTGCAATTGCAGGTTTGGTCTCCTTGTTGAATTTACTTTCGAAACAATACCGGTTATGTAAAAATTGACAAGAGTAGTCCTTGGGTAGGGTTCAAAGTTAGGTGGCCACGACCCCTTTTGCACAGCTTTAACATTTAAAAACATCTCATCTCAACTCAACTGTATTTATAGAGCACTTTCAAACAGCCATCGCTGCATACAAAGTGCTGTACATGGAACAACTAACATATACAACAGTAGCGCAACAAATCGGTAACAAAGACGGTAGAAAGCACCGAACAGCAAAACCAAGAACAAATCTGAGTCATGCTGAGTCAAATGCCAAAGAATACAAGTGAATACATCAACATTCAGTGGGCCATAACTCCCAAACCCCTCTTCCGATTGACCTAAAATTTGAGAGTTAGTGTTATGCCATCACAAACAATCAACAAGTAAAGCAAGTTTAATTACAATTAAATTTCACTTGGTTCAACCCAGTGGGTGATTTTGGCATGGAATGACCCTAATACATTTCATAATTAGTACCACAGGCAAGTATGATGCATTTTATTTATTTTTCAAATGGTATTGTTTTTATTGTGTAACTATATAAATATTGATTCTGAACTGCTCCAGGTTACCTTTGTCGCACAGTTATGTTTTGTTATGTTGCATTTTTTTTTTAATAGTATTGATGGTTTTTGGAGTAATGCGACAAGGCTCAAGTACAAAATGCCGTACAGTGCTGTTACTGTTGGGAGTAAGAGGAACATTATTTTATCAGGTTCTAAAATAATGGTGAACATTGGTATTGAGGAGAGGAAATTTCCCCACGAAATTGGACGTGTTGGTTGTTTTGCAGCTAGCGAATGGAGGACCATGGATGAATCCCGAGGCTCCGTTAACAGAGAAATCTGAAAATTATGGCACAGAGCGAGATGTAGCCAACTGCCCTTTCTTCCTCAAAACTGGATCCTGTCGATTTGGGGACAGGTACAATGGCTTATCTTGTTTTGTTTTGTTTTTTTTGTTTTTTTGATGACTTCAGCATTTGTCTTGGGTGGTCATTTGTGTTGACCTCATATCCTTGTTTGAAGAATTTTTGTTGTGTTATTGCAATTTATTATTTTTTCTAATTCACTCCCTGTGATTTTTTAGATGTTCTCGAAAGCACGTTTACCCATCCACCAGCCCCACTCTACTGATCCGTGCTATGTTTATAACATACGGCATGGAACAGTCTCGACGTGACGACTACGACGGCGATGCTTCCCTGGAGCACAGCGAGGAAGAGCTACACGAGTCCTTTACTGAATTCTACCGTGATGTTCTACCAGAGTTTAAGACCGTTGGCAAGGTGGTCCAATTTAAGGTAAATTGGATCACAATCACCAAAATTGAGTGGACCGTGTTCATTCATTCGAAAATACTGTCATAGTAGGGATACAGACATCCACCGATTTCCATCATTAGCTCAAGCAAAGTACAAAGAAGTTGTTTAAAGAGAAACATATTTTTGTGCATCTCAATACGGTAAATTACAATATTGGCGGGGAAAAAAAACGACATTTATTTCATTAGCTCAAACCTGTGCATAGAGTAAATTGACAACACAGAGTAAAATATTAGTACTTCAGTGTTCATGATCACAGCTTGGAGCTGACAAAACCCCACAATTCACAATCTTAAGAAACTGGAATATTATAGAGATGTAATGCAAAATGAGTGGAAATGAGTTAGGAATTTGCCTTATGAAAAGTGCTCCCACTGTATGTATTTTAAGTCATCTGTATGAGTTTCACTTTTTAAATGGAACTCATGAGATACAGTAAATGAACTTTTATACAATAATCAAATTGACTGAGATGCATCTGTAGATGGGATGAGGACCCTGAGGTACTCCTGTAAGATATCCTCTGAGACTTGGCAGCAGTACTTCTTAGTAAGATGAATGTAAGGTAACCAGGGGTGATTACGTCCTAGCGATTATTATTACGTCATGATGATGAGACTAAAATTCTGATGTGATCTTTGTTTTTAGGTCAGCTGCAATTATGAGCCACACTTGCGAGGGAATGTTTATGTCCAGTTTGACACGCAAGTATCACACGAGGGCTTTGAAAATAATCCTGCATTGCAAATGATCTGAACTTTGAGCAAAGGTTTTAATTTGTTGTCTTCTGGCTAGTGAGGAGCAGTGCAGAGAGGCCTTCATCAAATTTAATGGAAGGTGGTATGCCGGCAAGCAGCTTCACTGCGAGATATGTCCTGTAACACGGTGGAAGAATGCCATTTGTGGTGAGATGAAGTTTGATTTTACTTTGCTTACGGTTGTCATTGCTAAGCTCAAGATAAGCGGTTTCACATCTCAAATTGCGGGTCAAAATTCACAAAAATTCAAAATTCCGAATGTATGATTATGCGGCAGAACTTTCGGGAGGATAGTCAAATACTAAAGTATGGAACAGGTGCAGCCCTACAGCTCCCTCATTATATTATCATATTTTTTATTGTTTAATAAAATCCTTGCTTCAGGTCCCTGAGATTAACTTGCCAAAAAATAAATACATTTAAATGCTGCTCCAATGTTGAAAGCTCTTCCTCAAATGAAGTCATTGATTGGCAAAAATGCCCCTAAAAAAACAGACATACAAAAAAAAGCATTTCAAGCCTTCCATTGTCCTGTAACACGGTGGAAGAATGCCATTTGTGGTGAGATGAAGTTTGATGAAGTTCGGGTTGCAAATTCCAGGGATAAATGAAATTTTATGTGAACAAACAGGGAATATAAAAACTTTAAGTTGGCCCGTAATTGGAATATTTCCAAAATTCTTCATTTTATTGGCCCATGGAAATTGACCAGAAACTTTGTGAACAATTTTAAAGAAATTGTCTAGCCCTTTGCAGCTCAACAGGTTGATAAACGTTTGTTTTGTTATCCCCAGGACTGTTTGACAGAAAAAAGTGCCCCAAAGGGAAACACTGCAATTTCCTGCATGTATTCCGAAACCCCGGCAATGAATTCTGGGAGGCCGACAGGGACCTTCACATTTCCCCACACCACAGCCTCAAGGGGAGTCACTCGGAGAGATACTCAGAAAGACGGGGGGACAGATCGTGGAGGAGTCACCGCAGCAGAAGCCCACCCAGATCGGAGAGGTCGTACGGCAGACGAGAAGACGACCGACGCAGTGAGAGGAGTCGAGATAGGAGGATTTCCCAGCACCAAAGAGACGACAGCAGACGCTCTTTCGGGTCAGTGCGTTATGACAGGGTTCGGGGCAGGTACCGAAGTCGAAGCAGAGAAAAGTCCAGGAGCAAAAGTCGAGACCGGAAAAGGAGTCGAGATCGAGACAGAAACTTGAAAAGTCGGAATAAAAGTGAAGAGAAAGATAGAAATGGAGATGGGGTAAAACACGCAGAAAGAAACAAACCAATCAGAGAAAAGAGCAAACATCACAGCCCGGAGAATGAAGACGAAAACCGAAATGTTCCCGAAGAGGACAACAAGAGACGTCGCCATCACAAACACTCGAAAAAGAGCAAAAAGAAAAGTAAGAAGAAGCACAAGAAACGGAGCTGTTCACCTGAAGCGATGACTTCATCGCGAGAGTCAGATGAAGAGACTGTGAACAAACACTCGGCAGAAAGTCCTAGTGGAGAAAAAGCGGAACTCCATCGGAATAATGATGACTTGAGTGCAAGTCCAAGCGTTGAGTCTGAAAAAAGTTCTGTACCACAAGTTGAGGAGCCCACACAAAGTTCTTAGTGGCTTTTACAATGAAATGTTTTTTTTTAATATTTATGTGACAGTGGCTACAGGTCGGGCGGAGTCATGGCCGTATTTTCACCGTGACCTCACACATACTTTCTACCACTGGTAAACAAACCCATCCGTCATTTGACCAAGGCATAGCGCTTGAGAAAACAGGCTGATGATGATTTTAACCTTCTTCTCTGCCACCATTTGAAGGGTTGACGTGTCAGTTGAGAAGATGTGAGGTTGATTCATAAAATAGATGCGGAATTTCAAACATTGAGAAACTGGCTCATTGACTAAGCGGTCGCTCAGATGTGCTTCTTTGACAGTGAGATAGATAGCGTGCTGACATTAGCTAACCATTTTATTTTGATTAATGAATTATGATGCAAACCCAACCAAATGGTGTATACATATCTGTGAGAAAGTATGTTCCACAGTTATGATGATAGAGTTTTGGGTCGTAGTCTGTCGCTTTAGAAATGGCTACTCCCAGACAGTCTTGCCAGTTCACAATTACTCCATTTGTTCTTTACCACCTTTTGTTTAACTTTAAAATCTCTTCTTTTTTTTCCCCCCATTTTGTACCAAATCATGTGAGTTAACTCGCTGTGGCAACTTCAGACTAATAAACTAATCGGGACGAAGCAGAAAGTCAAAAAACAAATGAAATAAACATGAGAAACGACAATGAAGAGAATCGATAGGTAGAGATGGAGATAGAGAGACCTGCGGATTGCTGCAAGTAAGCCAGAAATGATGACCAGGCTAACAGTAAGGTTCTTTGTGCCATGATATTACTATACTTTATATACTTTCACATAAAGCTACAAAAACTGAACATTTTACAAGCTGCTGATGTCAAAGACCAAACAAGCACCTTTACGTTGCATTACTCATCGATAGTTTCAATTGAATGTGCTGAAAAGTTCTTTGCGAATGCTCCTTGTCAGTGCTCTTCATCAACTGAACTTCACAGTGATCAGTTGCCACTTTCAACTGGTTAGTTATGGAAATGTGTCCCAAGTCAAACTGCAAAGAAAAAGTCTGTTTTTTTCCCCCAGTTTGAAGACATTTATTGTTAAATACTGTCCAATATAAATGTTAATAGGATGGTGAATACAAAAGTGGTTTCTTTTGCAGAAAGGCAAGATGAATTTTTCCAATAAACACCATGTGGTTGCACTTTTTCTTTTTTCACTTCAGGAACATGATGTTCCCAATTGCTTTTGCTGCTGCGTGTGAACAACTGAGCGTGCCTTTCATTGGATTGAAATGAATACCCTTTTTGTGTCACATTAGACTTCCACAGACACCATTAAGATGGTAAAACACAGTTCTTTGGTCATATATTTTAGTGTTTAAATGTAAACCAAAGCATCACGTCAAGAAAATAAGGTATTTCTATTTGGGTCACTTTTTTGACTTAGGTACGTACCGACTGTCATTTCTCTCTCTACAAAATAAAAATGGGTTGAGATTTACAAATGTAACACTACACTGAAACAACACATTTTGAACTGAATTGCATTTAGGTGGATGCTTTTGAACTGGTTTGGTTTATGGGCAGGTTTGTATCATGATCATTACATGCGATTGATAGCTGCACTTCTGCTTTTCTGAAAAATAGCTCAAGTTCGGAAAAAAAAGTGTTATTCAAATGTGCATGTTTTCAACCTTCCACAACACTTGTCAATAATGAACCGCCAACAATTGAGTACTCCAAGCTGAATTATTACAGGAACTATTTTTTCAGATGCAGCAGAAGAACAACATGATGGGACAATTGACTGAATCAACACAAATTGATACTGTGGCTATGTTCTTGCTGCTACATTGGTCTCGGAGATGTTGCACAATAAATGACATGACTACGGGAGCTGCTACAGATGAGACATCGTTGAACCACACTTGGCACCACAGTTACGGGACATCAGAGGGGAGCACAGTTTGGAGAAATACAGCACAGACATGTTGATTACATACGTACATACGAGTACAACACTGACACGGTAAACAGGAGAGAACAAAGTTGTGCCAATGCTTGCTCAGGCAACGTCAAGTTTATGTCAGCCCAATTTCTTCCAAAACACTCCGTGGGGCCTCTGCCTCCTGTAGATAGAGAAGAGATATCACATAGGCATGAACCTTTCTCAAATTCAATTAAAATGTATTACGGGTGAAAGTTCAATACAAGATACTGAACCGTCTCAACTTCCAGCTCATCAGTACGACACTCATATTAGCCATTATTTGCAGAGGATAAAGAATGTGACTCAGAACTCATATATTACCCGTCTACATTTGTTGTTGCGCCGCTCATGTTCAATCCGTAGCATAGACGCTAGTTAACAATAGCATTCCAATTTGTTGGACATTTAAGCATTTATTTTTAAGTTTTTTTTTTTTTTTTTTTTAAATAACAACTGTGATTCTTTATGTTCAGCTAAACAGTCGTGAACTCTCAAGATGGTTCATTCGCATCTAAATACACCACTGAACGCAGTTTATTCTTGTGCAGGGTATAAAGTATCCTGGGAAGATAACGGTGCCATTTTTATGTTGAGTACTATTTCAGTCATCATTGTATTTTCCGCTCTTTAGCATAAGAGGAACAACAGTTTAGCCTACAAGTCCACTGCTCAGTTGCTTTGCAGCTCTGGTTTTGGGTGCACGCGTGTACCTCCTGCAGCAGGTCTGCTTGCTCGATGGCTTTCAGCACATTCTTCTTGGAGGTTTCCTGGGCTTCTCCGCCCAACAGGAATTCATCAAGGATGAAGTAGGCCTTCTCAAAGTTGAAGATGATATCCAGCTCACACACCTACGAGGACACAAGAATCACAGTCGGTGAGGTTAGGTTTAAAGTTAGTGCTCATACTGAACATTGGGTGTGGCATATAAGAGGAAACTCACACTGCCAAAATACTTGTCCAACAACTCCACATATCTATGGATGATCTCCAGGGTGATCAACTCATTGTCCTGATCCTCCACCGCACAGCAGAAATATAGACTGGCATATCTAACACGCACACGTGCACACACGCACGCACACACACACACACACACACACACACACACACACACACACACACACACACACACACACACACACACACCAGAAACAGTTGTAATTCTCAAAAACAAGGGCGAGTTTTCATTACCACAGCCGATGTTTCATATGATTTCTTGCATTTTTAAACAGGTAGATATTGCTTCATTTGGAACCAACTGAAAGAAATAAAGATGATGCTCCGAATAGCAAAAACCTGTAATGAATTGAGGTTTATAATTGCATATGCATGCCACATGATGGTGGCAAAGCACTACACGAAGCTGCTCATTATCACAATTGTGAACCATCTCTTTGTGATGTCATCTTTGCAACCGATTTAAATGTGGCTGCTTTATTTCTCGTTTAGTTGTCATGATAGTGGGCACACATGAAGAGTGCCTTTGTTTTTTAATGGCTGGAGCACAAGGCTCTTGCACAAATATTCCGTTTTTTGTTTTGTTTTGTTTTTTTAAACCATAGCCATTGATTGTTGAGCAGAGGGGGTGTTTCTGGCATGCCCAACTCAACAGAAGGTGAGCGCAAAATACCAGAGCTCTAAGTGGCTGGCAATAGCTCTGGCACAATATGAAAAACGATATTCAAGCATGAACAATTGCTTATCCTTAAATAGAGAGGATGTGGTCTTTTTTTTTTTTTTTTTTAACTTGATGCTTCTTAAATTCAATTGTCTTTTAGTGAGGGCAATGAGCATACTAGTACATTTATCTTAAGATGGATATGAAGTATAATCAAATAAAACACTAAAAATGGCTTTCCATAGTGACCAGTTGATGTAGATCCGTTATTCTGAGCATGACAAAAAACATGGATTCTCACAGGAAGAGCGGATTTTTGGGATACTGTTTATGTATTGAATGTTATCAGATTGCGCAGGTATACCTAGTGTTATAACTAACCTCTTGTAAACAATCTTCAGGTCCCTCCACTCCAAGAAGCTGCACATTTTGGGCTTCCTGGCCAGGATGGTCTGAACCAGATCTCTGGAGATCTTCTTCCTCTCCTTGTCGGAGAGAGGCAAGTACCACTTCTGAAGGCGTAGCTTTCCCTGGCGGCTGAACAGCAACATGAACTGCATCTGAAGGAGTTAAGTTACACGTCAAGAGTCATGAATGAGCAGGAATTAATCATTAATAGGTAAAGGTTCCCGTGACCCTTGTGAGCATAAGCGGCTCAAATAATGGATGGATGGATGGATGGGTAGGTAGGTACACTGCTTAACATAAATGAATACATACGCATTGAAAAGTAAGAATTTTACCCATTTCTGATTTGACACACTTGTTGTTGAATTCCATAAAACAATACATTTTAAAGGTGAATTTAGCTGTGCTCGACTTTCATTGAGTGTGCTTTTTTTTAATGATGACTTTTTTTAGACTGTACTCACAAACCTTACATCAGTAGAAGTACTTAAATTTGTGTTTAAAAAATACGAGAGTCTATGATAAAAGTAGAAATACTAATTCCTTTACTTGAGTAAATTGCTCTGAAATGTTCTTTAGTACAAAAGCAAAAAAAAAACGTAACTTTGAGCCTTGCTAGGCACCACTGTATCTGCAATGAATGTGTTTATTTTAGTCACGACTCAGTCAAAACATATTTTGCTCAACTCAATTAGGTAACATTCAATTATGTAGAGTCCTGGTTTATTCCTATCAATTTCCGTTGCATCAATGGAAAGTGCCAAACTTTGAAAATTCTCAGTATTTTGCTGCTAAACAGAAATCAATTGTCAGTTAATGCAGGATTAATTCATTCATTTGTTCGTTCGTGCGTCTCACGACAAACACCTGTGACGCTTCAGTGAAAAGTTTCATTTCGGCTCATATACGATTCCTCTGCTAAAAGGATGGCAACATCAGCAAGCAATGTCTCACTTCTCCCCCTCGCCACTACGTTCATCAAGCTTCAATCCACTGCAAATAAATCGTGTCCCTTTTACCTTGGTGTAGTCGCTTGGACGATCGCTGAGATGTGGAAGATCACACAAAAACACACATACAAAAGACAAACGTGCTTTAGTTTCGTGACAGACTAGCAAGACTAACAGTGCCTCATTTCATCCTGCTAGTTGTTAGCAAATATTAGTGAGGCAGCAACCAGCTCAAAGTCGCACTGATTGGACAAAAAACTAACAGAGTCGCATTGTGATTGGCTGAAACGTACCGTTATTACTTACGTTACAAGTCAGCATATTTCTTTTATCATATATCTATATCTATATCTATATCAATCAATCAATCAATCAATCAATCAATCAATCAATCTATCTATCTATCTATCTATCTATCTATCTATATATATATATATATAAAATATCTCGGATTCTGAAACACACACACACACACACACACACACACACACACACACACACACACACACACACACACAACGGTTTATCTCCTTTCTACCCTGCTTATTCTCATTCGGGTCGCGGGCGTGCTGGAGCCTATCCTAGCTGCCTTCGGGCATTAGGCGGGGTACACCCTGAACTGATTAACTGATCGCCAGCCAATCGAGGGGGGACACATAGACAAACAACCATCCGCGAATTAGTTTATATCAGGGTTTAGTCGTCATCTTTCGTGAAAAATATAGAAATGAAACAAATGACTCGTTTGTCAAAAATGTTGGAGCCTAAATTGTGCTCCAATTCTGAAATGATTGGATTCCGGTAAGCATTGGGTGCAGAAGGACTCTGAACATGAACGGTTACGTCAACGCTGACAATAAAGTCATTTAGCCCCATCTGTTGACGAAAACGTGTAGTTACACGAAGGTGCATTTTTTTCCCCTTCCCCTTTCGGTCTACATGCGACAGAGCCTCATTTGTGACAACCAACCACTGCCTTTGACGTCTTCGCTGTTTTTGCGTCCGTTTATGTCAATAATATCAAAAAGCCAGGTGGATGCTCTTCGGTAGGAAAGCGTAGCAAAGCCGTTTGAAGAGGGGAGAGTGTGACGACGCCTGCTCAGGATGGTTCACTGACTGCAGTGCAGGGGTGGCTTGTTGGAGCGTCTTCGTACCGTGATCTGCACATTAAACATGTGACGTAGGGCTTTTTCGGACATAACCAGACTGTGAAGCGAGGATGAGGAGCCGCAGTAATTCGGGAGTGAGGCTGGATGGATATGCCAGGCTTGTCCAGGAGACTATTCTGTGTCACCAGGTACTCAATACGTGTTTGCATTTGAAAGTTCTTGCCAAAATCGAGTTTGAGATTTGGACAACAACAGAAACAGTGATTCTGAAAATGTGGTACTAGTACCACTAGTGGTACGCCGGTTCCCTCATGTGGCATGTGAAAGAATTACTGCCTAAATACTACCCAATTGTTGTTAACTTTTAAATTCAACATTTGTATTGAATTTTTATGTGCGATGCGTTTTCATTGAATCATTATTTAAGTACATTTTTAATTTTACAGTTTTTAAGTGCAGTGTTACAACAGTATAATTTTACAGTAGTTGACAAATGAATTTAAACATCTTTCTCGTTTTCTATGAACACTGATATACTGTACCTCGCTCCTGTGGTTATATGTTCGTATTCATGGTGGTATTTGGAGAGCTAAGTATTTTTTCCCGTCGTAAAATTTAAGAATGACTGACAAAGATGATTAAGAAATGTTTGTTTTAATGGGCAGGGATATTTTAGTTATAGAAAACGTCATTTTTTGAAAGGTATAGCTACTATATATTTTCTAAGCTTTTAAAATTTTATTATTATTGTTATTATTATTATATTGTGTTTATGCAATACAAAACAATACATCCTGATTTATATAGCGCTTTCACAACAGCTGTAACACAGCGCTTAACAAAACAGTTAACACAAAGTAAAATAAACACAACACATAACATAAAACACGGAGAATCGTGCAATCCTAACCACTTTTCCCTCATACGCTTTGTTGTTTAAAGCAAATGTTTGAATCATGATTCAATCAAAATGTATTGCACATGAAAGTTACATAAAAAAACAGCAAATAAATGTTTGAAAACAAACGTTTCGAAAAGATTGAATGCAAAGTTTAAGTTGAATACAACTCAACTGGACTCAACCTTTGTACTCAACTTGATCAAACGCAATATTTAAGACACTAACATTATGAATTGGGAATTTCTCCATTGCGAGACTAATAAAGTTTTTCTTATCTTATTATGCACAGTTTGAACATTTATTCTGTGATTCTTGCGCATAGCACTAGAGGAAGCCCGCGCACCAATAGTGATACTTGTACCACACTTTGAGAAGCACAGCTGTCAATACAGTATAACTTTAGGGCATATACGCAAATGTACAAAGAGTCATTAGCAATATAAAGTGTCAAGTGAAGCAGATCAAATCAAATTCATTGTGCAATTCTGCCCACATGCCACTTTATTTTGGACATTCACCAAATCTAATGAGATGCAGAGTCAAGTAAGATCTTTAAATGTGTTCTGGTATTTGGTGCAATGCAAATTGACAAAATATAACTTTATTCATGTGAAACAGTATATAAGTGACACTAAATATTAGTTAAAAATAGAATATGTATATTATTTTGATTGAAACAAGTGCATTAGAATTTTCCTTGAATTGACCCACATTGGTTAATCCAAAGTCTTCCCAACAATTTGGCCAAAACAGTGTTTAAAGGTCAGCTATCGGTTGTGGGAGTAAATATTTAGGGACGTGCTGTGTGTTTGTTTGCATCGACAAATCCGGATGTTCTGTTGTCCCTTGAGGTTCAGACTTCACCAGTGTGAAGTGCATCGAAACAAACATGGGCAAAGGTCAACCCTGCTGTAGATTGAGGCCTCCTGCCTGGGACTCGGCCCTTGAAGCACGTTGGACACGTCTGCTTTGTACTTATGCCGCTTATGCCACTTCCCCCAGCCCCTATACTGTATTCCTCTCTGCTGACACAGTTCCATAATTGATCATTTTCCTTTATTTGCCTTGTAAGAGGCTCGTATCTGTTAGGGAACTAGAAAACATCCGCCCTGTGAAGATTTGCAGTTGAAACTAATAGTCTTTCAATGCAGGAATTCAATAATTAGAAAAAAAGAAATCTGCATGACTGTATGTATTTTCATTCATTCATTCATTTCCTTTTTGGAAAATCTACAATGAAGTAGCAGTGTGTTATTTTTGTTATGCAAGATACTATTGCCTTCTTAGCTCCGTGTATCACTGAAGCAAAGTCTATCAGATTCAGTGCAAATTAATGCAGGGCAAGAAAAACCCTGCAGTCATTTACTTACGTAATTGTTGTAGCTGCGGTTTGTTGTACTTGAAATCCATCTTGAGGTCTATGAGCTAGTATGCTCTTTCTCCTCACTCGTAGTGCACTTCAGCCCACTAGTAGAATTACTACTAACTAGAATTTTTTTTCCACTACTAATTTCACATTTGGCCTACTAGTTTGCAATCAAACCTGACTAGTAAACTAGCAACATAACAAAACCCAACTAGAAGGCATGTGATTTACACTAGTAGCCTCGCGGACCCACTATTAGCACCAAAATGGCCACCAGTATATAGTTTTGACTCACTAGCGAAATGCCTTACTAATATGTCAAAATTGTCCTACTAGTGTGCAGAAATGTAACATACTAGTGAAAGGAAGTGGAAAAGAAAACATTACGACTACGACACCATTGTTCTCCTAGTGCATGCTAACCCTAGTGTACTAGTATACATGTTGCCTTCACTAGTAAGACAAATCAGCTTACAAATAGAACAAGTAGGGCACACTAGTAAAATAACTATGGTGAGCAAGTAGAACAGCTGTGATTTCGTATTCACATTTTTACTGGCCTACTAGTACACAATTAAACCTTACTAATACTTTGTAATTAGTCAGTAACACACTAGTAGCCTTTTCTATTGTAGTAGTACCAAATTGGCACTGGTAGTTTTGCCTCTTTAGTAACATGTAGTTGTCCTACTTTTACGCCAAAATTGTCCGGCTACTAGTGCAGAAATAGAAGAGAGTAGTGGAGAAATATTTACCTCATGTAGTAAGACGGTTATTCTAGTGCGCTCAAGTCCAACCCTTAATATCCAGCTCGAGGTTCATGTACTAGTATGCTCTTTGTCCATCCTTGTAGGACAACTTTGGCATACTATGAGGACAGCCACATTGCTGGTGGCACAAAATTGTGTACTAGTTGACCTGCATGCTCCTCGTAGTTCTAAAGTGAAGCCCAAGATGTTAACGACTAGAGCTAGTAGAATTTTAGGATGTCACTCGTACTAGTAGTAGCATGCAGAACAACTAGAGCAGGGATGTCAAACTCAATTTTGTCGCGGGCCGCATTGTAGTTCCCATTTCCCTTGGAGGGCTGTTATGACTGTGAAACCCTATCAGTAAGTCAGGAATAATGGTTTATTCAACTATTGTTTAAGTAACTCCAATGAGGGGTTTGGAAACAAGAAAATGCCTACAATATCTCACTTATTTATTACATATGAGATGTGGAAATTTTGGAGCACATTTTTGCGAGCATCATGGAAGTTGACTGGAAGTTGACATGTTTGATTTGCTTTTGCGGGCCACATAAAATGATGTGGCGGGCCGAATCTGGCCCCCGGGCCTTGAGTTTGACACCTATGAACTAGAGTATAGTTTAGCCGTATTAATAACATGTAGTTGTCCCACCCATACAGTTCTACTGGAGCACGCAAGTCATTCTACCAGTGTGCTGATTTTAATTGTCTTCCTAGAGTGGCTCTGTCAACTAATAAACCTTTCAGGAGGCTTTCAAGGCCATTCTTCTGCCTGGTATTGATTTTTGTGATGTAAATATGTATGTGTGTGTGTGTGTGTGTGTGTGTGTGTGTGTGTGTGTGTGTGTGTGTGTGTGTGTGTTTCAGAATCCAGTGTCAGGGCTCCTGCCTGCCAGTGCCCAGAAAAAGGATGCCTGGGTGAGAGATAACGTGTACAGTATTCTGGCCGTGTGGGGGCTGGGCATGGCCTATCGCAAGAATGCTGACCGGGATGAGGACAAGGCCAAGGCCTACGAACTGGAGCAGGTGTTTGTGAAAGCCAGTAGTAGCCATTCCTCTTTTGTTTCACCTCCCACTTGCTTACTGTATATGGATGTTGGCTCAAAGTTTTTATTTTAGGTGCTTCTGTAGGATTCAATACAAGTCAATGTTACAGGGGCAAAAGATTACAAATGCACTGATCTTGTATTATAATCTTTTGACAGTACAGTATACAGATACATTGATTGATGGACAGATAGTTCAAGACTTTTGCAAGATAAATGTCAGGAAAAGCCTACTAAAGCAGCTGAGCATGATTTGGGGTGGTTTCAAGGCATTTTATGCAGTATGGTGTCAGATATCTTTTGACTCCCATCTAACATGCGTTTGAATGCGATTGCTGAACTCTCAGTCCGGCTACATCTCAATTATAAGAAGGTGTGCACAGTTTTGCAGCACATTATTCCAGTTGTTTATTTTTACTTCTCAATAAGATAAAAAATCGTGTTGTTCAGATTATAGGTCACATTAATGTTGTTCATTGTTTTGAAATGATTCATCTTGGTATACCTTTTTTTAATCACATCACACACATTTTAACACGGGTGTGTAGACTTTTTTTATCCATTCTATGCATGTGTGGATCTTCACCATAACAGTATGTTCATGGTCAGTTGAGTGGAGTTCAACTGCATTTCCTGTAATGTGCTGTCTTGACAGAGTGTGGTCAAACTGATGCAAGGACTTCTGCGCTGCATGATAAGACAGGTAAGACATGCCTCTGTTTGCGATTGACTCCTGGTCTTGTTCTTCTGTAACGACACCGCCTTGTTTGTTTTCAGGTTGCCAAGGTGGAGAAGTTCAAACACAGTCAGAGTACCAAGGATTGTTTGCATGCCAAATATGATACTCCCACTTGTGCCACAGTGGTGGGAGATGACCAGTGGGGTCATCTTCAGGTGGATGCCACCTCGATTTACTTGCTGATGTTGGCACAGATGACGGCCTCAGGTTTGGGGATTGGCTTTGTTTGCATGAGGTGTTCTCAGTGGTCAAAAATAACATTTACCACTCATGCACATGAAAGAATATTTCACTTACATGAAACCACTGTCAACACACAACAAAGAATCAACAAAAACAATTTTGCTCAACTAAAAGAAGTTTAACACTCACTCAAAAATTTGTAACGCTCAAAACACACACACACACAGACAAAAAAAAAAAAACTCTCGTACTACAAATATCACACCAACCAGGCCTCTCAACATCATCCAAACACACAAAAATTAGCTTCACACTCACTCAGTAGACTTTCGCGGACACACACACACCAAAAATCTCAAACTAAAAACAATAACTATAATATTCTTTGATTTTTCATGCGCACTAAAAATCCATCCACAACCAAAAAATGCAACACACACCAAAAACACTCTCCCTCACATTGGAAAATTCATTCATTCATTCATTTTCCGATCCGCTTTATCCTCACAAGGGTCGCGTGGGTGCTGGAGCCCATCCCGGCCGTCTTTGGGGAGTAGGTGGGGGACACCCTGAACCGGTTGCCAGCCACTCGCAGGGCACAACATTGGAAAATATCACACACGTATATCAAAAAATTTTCCCAAACAACAAAAAACAATCTCATTCATACGAGAAAACCTCCCATACTCACCCCCCAAATTTTCACACACACCTAAAAACTCAATCATACCAAAAAAAAAAAACCCCACAAAACCTCTTTTGGTCAACAACCTCTCTGTTAAGATAAAAAAAAAAAATTCTAACTGTGAATGTTTTTTTGTTGTGCGTCAAGTTTTTTTGATCCATGTGAGTGGTAAATGCTATTTTGCAACTTTTTTCGTGTTCATGTTTAAATGCCTCAATGTTCTGTGGACATCACATTATAGACCCTCCAAAAAATGTGTGATCACGCAGGTCTTCGTATCATCTCAAACTTGGATGAGGTGGCTTTTATCCAAAACTTGGTCTTCTACATCGAGGCTGCATACAAGGTTGCGGTAAGCATCATGATTTTGGGAAGAGAATGTGGAGAAATTGAGACATTTTGAACCAAGGCCAGCTGCCTTCTTTCAGGATTATGGCATGTGGGAACGAGGTGACAAAACCAACCAGGGCATCCCCGAGCTCAATGGCAGCTCTGTTGGAATCGCAAAGGTATTTTAATTGCAAATTAGAATTACAGTGAACCCTGCATATTTGTGATCTGGCACACATAGATTCTCTGGGATTTTTCGAGGGGGAACCGATTCGCCTTTTTTCCCTCATTCACTATTTCTGTGCCATTAGTCCCAATTTGAAACAATTTGAAGTAAGTTGAGGCACTTCATTCAAACAAAAGTAGTCATTTGCCGCCAGTTTGTGCCATCTCTAGGCAATGACAAACCCTTTTGAAGAAGGGGTGCCTCATATATTCATAGATTTTGTTCGTGGGAGGGTTTACTGTATTTACACTCACCAATCAGTTCTCTCGGTCAGTGTACAAACTTTATATAGCTGAGGCACATATTTTACTTTTGAAACATCTCATGGAACATCACAAAACAAAAGTGTCACAAAAAGTGTAAACACAGATTCATTATGTACCTTCTGCTATCTAGTGGACAATTATTTAACTGTTCTGCATGTCACCATATGCCACTGGCATAGATAGATGAACAATACAGTATATTATTTGTGCATTGTTTGGGAATTACTGCATTAGGTACTGCACACTCAAGTACAATCCAAACCAAACCAAGGTATGCATGTGTTCTTTGTTTTGTGGGCTTCAGGCTGCTCTAGAGGCTATCGATGAGCTGGATCTTTTTGGTGCCCACGGTGGCCCAAAGTCTGTCATCCATGTTCTTCCTGATGAAGTGGAACACTGCCAGGTACAATATACCTTCAACCTTCCAAGCATGTACAAGTATGGACAGTTATTTATTCGACATCCTTGATATCCATTGTAAAGTACTACTGTATGAACATAGTGTATGTAAGATTTGGGGGTGGCCAATGGCCCTGTATCCCACAAGACTTGATCCACCCCTGCACTGAATAGTACCTGAATCCCCTTGCCAAAACAAGAGAGGGCCGTTTTTCGAACTGTTAGTGTGGAGAAATTCATACAGTAGTGGGAGGCATGGGAAAAAAGAAAGTCATACTTGTTCGACAAGTGTGCTTAGTTATCTTACGAGCGAGGACAAAGAACATACTTAGTGTATGGACCGTAAGATGGATATCAAAGTATCACATAAATGTTCAAACAGCGTTCCATACGCAGAGGGCTGGTGGGTGTGTGCCTCCACTGCTGTGATAGATATCAAAGTAAAAATCTTCTGAATCGCCTCTTTTGACACGCTTCAGTCCATCCTGTGCTCCATGCTGCCCAGAGCTTCAACTTCCAAAGAGATAGATGCCGGCCTCCTGTCTGTTATATCTTTCCCCTCGTTTGCAGTGGAGGATGCAGAATTGGTGGCCATCACCAAGTCGGAAATCATCGGGAAATTGCAGGTACTATTTAAGACCGCATTTTGTGAACACTATTTAGAAATGGTGTATTTTTGTAGTCTCAACCACTGTGCTGTGGCACATTTGTGGGAAATGATCCAATTTCTCTTGGATCCCAAAAAATATTTTTTATTCGCTACGAATAATGCATCTTTCTATGCCAGCGATGTAAAGTGACAGGCTGAACAATGAAATGCTCTTCCACTTGATGACAGCAGGTACAATTAACTGGTAACCACACATTTCCATTCAACAGAATAGTACCTTTGTGTTAGAAAAAAAAAAAAAAAAAAAACAGGATTAATTTCACAATATGTAAACTTGTGGATAAATTGAGATGAGACCATTATTTCAGTATATGTACTTTTTTTTTAGTCCTTTTTCTTTATGGGGTTCGACTGTATGTAGACTCTGTATCTTGGACCAGTAAAGGTACACTGTATTATCCTAAAGAAATGTTGCTAACCTTGTATTCTGTGTCAGGGACGCTATGGTTGTTGCCGCTTCATCAGAGATGGATATCATTGTCCTAAAGAGGTAAGACTTACAGCAATCTTTCATATGAAGCCTAAATATTCCAAGAATTAGTCATGTCACTCCAGGCACTATTACATAAAACACTGAAAGTAGAAGAGTGCATTTTTTTTCCTGGCAGCGTATCATCTCATTGTTTTATTTTCATCAAATTTATATGACTTATATGACTTAAAGTTATTTTATTAGAACTCAATGAATTGCAGTAGTGCACCTCTGTAGTGAATTGTAGCGATGGGAAAACTAACCTTTAAGATGCTGAACCAGTTGTTGTATTTGTTTTTTTTTTTTTTGGACTCCTCTAGATGGCACTGTCTGTTCAACATAGGGCTGAAAGCACATAGACATTCTTAAACCCCTGTCTTTAAAACAACAGTGCCATGTAGAGGAGTCAAAACATACAACTGGTTCATGAAGCATCTTGAAGCTTCATTTTCCCATCACGAGTGAAAAAAATATTTTGTCCTATCACCCAGGACCCAACCCGGCTGCATTATGATCCTGCTGAGCTGAAGCTATTTGAGAATATTGAATGCGAGTGGCCCGTCTTCTGGACCTACCTCATTCTTGATGGTATCTTTACAGGAGACCAAGTGCAGGTAAGAAAGACAACCTCGCTACTTTAATGATGAAAAAAAAAATATATATATATATATATATATTATTTTTTTCTTTTTTTATGACTGGGTGCGCTTGTAGATTAATATTGGACAAAACTATTGTGTGTTGTGTTTAGGTGCAGGAGTACCGTGAGGCACTGGAGGGCATATTGATCCGGGGGAAAAATGGCATCAAATTGCTGCCTGAACTTTATGCTGTACCAACTGACAAGGTACATTGCTCCACTGAGATAGATAGATAGATAGATAGATAGATAGATAGATAGATAGATAGATAGATAGATAGATAGATAGATAGATAGATAGATAGATAGATAGATAGATAGATAGATAGATAGATAGATAGATAGAACTTTATTCAATATCGAGGTCCAGTAACTAGTACACTCTTTGTCCTCATTTGAAGAATATTTCAGCACAACACCCAACAGTTTTGTTTCCTCTACAGTTTGACATTTTTACACACTAGTAGGACAACTAGAGCATAATTGAACAACTGATACTTTGAACTGGATCTGGGTCTAGATTCATGTTCTTGTATGCTCTTTTTTCTCTCCTGAAATAAATACCAATGACTAGTAGAACAAAGTCCACTACTGCCTTCCAATACTGAATAACATTTCTCCACACAGGTAGGACTTTGGCCTACTATTGAGACAACTACATGTTGTTCCTTCTACCAGTAGTGTCCAGGGAAGGTAGTGCATGACACATGCTGAACGCTCAGGCCTCGTAGTGTTACTAGTTCAGCAGCGCAGAAGTGGTTTAATTGCATGGTATCAAAACTGAAGTGGCACCAGGAGTCAAACAAACCGTAATTAAAAGCCATTCTAACAGTGTGGGGAATTGTCTTATTTGTGTGGGCAAAGAGCATCCTCGTACATGAACCTTAACCTGGATGTAGGGATATCCACTAAATCCTCAAACAGCCTTCCATTAATTGTCCCCTTTTTCTGTCTCTTTGTGTTTATACTTGAGATCGATTATGATTATTATCATTCAATGTGGAAGTGTGAAGCTGTATGTGATTGTAGGTGGAGGAGGAGTACAGCAACCCGCACTCTGTGGACCGAGTAGCCATGGGCCAGGTCCCTCACATGTGGGGACAGTCGTTGTACATCCTGAGCTGCCTTTTGGCTGAGGTAGCTGGACGTAGCATAGAAGCCATGGCACCGCTTGTGTTGTTAACTGCTACACTCATTTGTTGATGCAGCCAAACTTAACGCATGTGCATTCTGTTTGAAGGGCTTTTTGGCACCAGGAGAGATCGATCCTCTCAACAGGAGGTTCTCCACAAATTTAAAGCCTGATGTTGTAGTTCAAGGTTGGTTTGAGGTGGAAATCTTTGTCCTCATTCGTAAGAAAACATAGCACACTAATAAATTGACATGGGTGTGTCTTACTACCAATGTTTTATTCTGTCACTGCCTTCCACTACCATATGACATTACTGCACATTAATTGGACACATTGTGCATACTACTAGGACATGTTGCTCATAAGGAAACTACTTATGGGCACTTTGGCTAGTCAGGTCCAGCAGACTACTAATGCATGACACATGCCTACTCATTGGGCCTAATAGTGTTACTAGCGTAGTACTGTAGTTTACCCGTAATGAGTAATAGTAGGGGAAAGTCACAGTCATAGTGAAAAGAAAACATTACTAGGATGATGCAGTCATTCTACTAGTGCACTGGCAAAAAAAAAAGTGGACTGGAACATGAAACTGGATATCAAGGATATGGAATAAATGTCGATACAAAAGTTTTTTTAAAACTTGTGTTTGTGTCAGTTTGTGTCTTAGCAGAATCGAAGGACATCCAGAAGTTATTGAATGAGCATGAGATAAAGGTCCAAATGTTGTCCGAGGTTCTGCCAATCAGGGTCCTGCCTGCTCGCATCCTGAGCCACATTTATGTCCGACTGGGTACTCAAATGCAAACAAAATACTGTTTTCTTTCTTCTTTCAAAGTGGTCAACTGTATGCTGATCCTATTTTCCTGTGTCAACGCCACAGGGAATTGCAAGAAGCTGAATTTGAGTGGCAGGCCCTACAGACACATCGGAGTTTTGGGAACATCCAAATTTTATGAGATCAGGAACCGCTCATACATATTCACCCCTCAGGTACAACAAGCTTCCTCTTGAAGATTCCGTCATTCCCCTTCGGTTGTTCTGTTGTCAATCCTTTCTTCTTCTATGGTGAAGTTTCTGGATCAGCACCATTTCTACTTGGCCCTGGACAACCAGATGATCGTGGAGATGTTGCGTACAGAGGTGGCCTACCTCTCCTCCTGCTGGAGGATGACAGGACGACCCACCTTGACTTTCCCCATCACCCGCAGCATGCTCGGTAAAGCACAAAGTACAACACCCTTCATTGCATGTGAATGTAAAGAAAACGAGCAGAAATTTCAAATGAATTAATGAGCTATTAAAGCCTATTATACTTTTTAACATGTAAAAGGACAGAAGAACAGCGGATGCCAAGCAAATATGCTCCCTTTTCTTATGTGTGGTGGGAGAGTTTTTGGGGGGCACTGTGAGAGGTTTTTTTCCTCACTCTGTGTGTATGTGTGTGTGTGTGAGAGTGTTTTTTGATGACCATGAGAGTTTTTAATTGTGTGAGAGGGAGTGGCGGCTCTAGACAGTTTTACCTTGGGTCGCGTGGGGGGAGCAGGTTGTTCAGTTGGGAGGGCGGAGGTTATAACTCTTCCCTCCCGTGCACACACATGCACAAACGCATTTCAAATGCAGTTTTCATCACTTTATTTGTCATGATTAGGTTTTCATTTTACAACTATCTCATTTTCCCAGTTGACGATGGAGATGCAATTGATCCATGTATCCTAGCAACGCTGAGGAAGCTGCAGGATGGCTATTTTGCGGGCTCAAGGTCTGTTTCCTCATGCTTCACACATGGGGGTGTAACTCTGTTGAATAATTAGAATTTAGACCACTCACCCCAAAAAAATCATAGTAACGGTCTTTCTCGTGAAGTTTCAAGACAAACTAAAATGGATGTAACCTCTTACGGGTGAACTGAATTCACCCTACTCATAGCTTTTGATTCCACATGTCCAACTGTTCATATGGAGGGACAAGAAGAGTCAAAGAAAGGCAGGGAAGTGGATGTCCCTGGAAAGTGTCATGGATCAGACACCTGTTATGAATTTTGCCGTTTCAACTCCCAACTTTGAACAGTTGGGCAGTCAAAAGATGACAGAATCTTCAAATAAGTTCACCCTTAAATTTTCTAGTGTATATTAGGTTCATCCTGAAATTTCACCCGAAAGCCCCATATCCCTAAATTTTTGTAAGTAGTGTTCATAAGATTTGGTGTGCTTTCAGGATCCAGATGTCGGACCTCTCCAGTTTACAGACCACTTCCTTTCACACTCGACTTAGCTTCTTGGATGAAGAAAACGACGACAGCTTACTTGAAGAGGATGAAGAGGAAGAGAAAGACTATGGAGAAGAATACAGCCAATGTGAACCTTCAGGTACATTATGGGGACAATATTCATTTTGATTTCGGATGTATATTAACTCCCATTAAAAGTTCCCACCTTTGAAAATTCCCCCATTTTTGCAAGCATCTATTTGAACGATCCAGGTGAATCCCTAACCAATTGTTTTTTTTTTTTTTTTTTTCTTCACTCTAATAGGCTCAAACGACATGTTTGATCAGTACCTCACGCAGCTCCTCCACAGCACCACCACCAGATGTCATCTTCCTCCCATCCAGGGCGGGGAACACCACGTGTTCAGTGCTGAACACACAACCAGAGATATCCTGTCTATGATGGCTCAGGTTCAAGGTCTTAACGTGCCCAGTGAGTTGGAGTTGTCTATTATTGCATTACCAACTGCAAGCATGCCCAGAAAAAGTCAGAATCAATCCCTGATAACAAAATGAACATTTGTTTGCTATTATGACTCCTTGAAATATTCCATATGAAAAAATAGTGAGGCACAAACTACTCATAGCAGGGGTGGGCCATGATCCAATTTAGGAGTGAAACAGAACAGACAAGTGCAGGCAAGAATGATCCTGATGTGTGCCTGGTGTGGACACATAGCCTAAAACAGGGGATTGATTACAAGCCCTCTGCATGCACCGCCAAGGGCAGGGATGAGTAATTTCCTGTAAATGCTGGAGGGGGACACCATTTTTACTAGTATGACAAAAGTGACAAAATGTATGATGGATGACAAAAAAGCAATTTTATGTATGGACAAAGTATGTGTATACTGTTCATGCAAAATATATGCACTTAATGTATAGTATTTCATTTTGACAATACAGTTTGTGGTGCATGTATAAAAGGTCCACGATCCTAACCCAACAACAAAGGGTTGGAAGCAAATAACAACATAACCACATACTGTGATTTTTTTTTCCCAGTGCAAAGCATTAGCTTGCATAAAAATTCAAGGATGGCACAAAACGGATGAACATGAAACCAACAAAAAGAACTCATTTTATGCATTTTTCACATAAAAATCAACTCACTCAAAATGGTAATATCTTGTAGTATCTTTGTCCTGCATGTCATTACAAATCCGTATAAAACAATTGGCCGACTCACGTAGTACTATAGGGCAGTAAAAGACTCTGCCCTACTCTGCAATGAATGTAAAGTGGAGTTGCTACTCTATTGCACTGTGTATATTACAACACACATATTTGTATGCTTTACAGAGTCTTCCATGTATCTACCTGTTGTCCCTCTCATGAACAAGCATCGCAAATCTCTCAACCTGTTGGAAGTTCCTCAGCCTGCCTCACATGCAAAGCAACACAAGGTAGTCACATATGCAAATTTTCGAATGACTTCACTTGACTGATTTCCCCCTCAATATGGGAAACCATTTGCGTATATATTTGAATCAATGTTGTCCAATTTATTGGACAAAGTGTCGCAGTGCAGCTGATCTCCACTTGCCGCGAGACGCCCAGGGCAACATGGATTTTGCAGTGCTGGTGAGACAGCTGAAGGAGTGTCCAACTCTGCAAGACCAAGCAGACATCCTTTACATTCTCTATATGATGAAGTAAGGAAAAAAAAAAGAAGCAATGATGGCAAAAGAAAAAAAAATCTGTCTACTTAAACGCTCTTTTGTGTTTGCTGGCTAGAGGAGCTGATTGGCTGGTTGAGGTGTCAGGTCCAGGCCATGGTTGGGTGAGTGTCCGCACCCTATTGGAGGAGCTGTATGTGCAAGCTGGAGCCTGCAAGGAATGGGGTCTCATCAGATACATCTCGGGAATACTGCGCAAGAGAGTGGAGGTCCTCGCTGAGGTCAGGAAATACAATTTTAGGCTATCATAGCAGTGAAATTAAGTTAAGGCCTTTTCAAACTGCACTTGGTCTTCTTGATGTTCACAGCAGGACAGTGTGTGTGTGTGTGTGTGTGTGTGTGTGTGTGTGTGTGTGTGTGTGTGTGGGTGTGTGTGTGTCCCTGTGCGCGCGTGTGCGGTAATGGCCGATCACGAAAGTTGATTGGCTTGAAAAGTAGACCTTTGGTCAAAAAAAGTTGGGCACCCCTGATCTATAGCAACAGTGTTCAAATGAATACTGTTCTTAAAAAATTCGATTCAATATGATAATAAATACAACATTATTATTTGTGTGTTGCACAGGCCTGCACAGATCTTATTTCCCACCACAAGCAAATTACCGTGGGTCTTCCTCCTGAACCCAGGGAAAGAGTCATCACAGTGTAAGTCAAAGTTGCTAAAAACTGACAGTTGGTGTTTGAATTGTTCACAATAATAATACTAATAATCATCATCATCATCATAATACATTTTATTTGCATATGCTTTAAAAAACACTCCACATACTTTACATCGTAAAAGACAATGAATAATTTAAAAAAAAACAGAACAACAAATTATTTATAATTTTATCTGTGGTTTTATTGTTCTTGTTTTGATTGTAAAGTGTCCTTGAGTGTTTTGAAAGGCGCTTATACATGTAATGTATTATTATTATTATTATAGGCATAAGACGAAATAAAAAAATAAGATACTCGTAATATTAAAAACAATATGGGTGCCTTGAAGGTGATGGGAAGAGTTTTATACTGGATTCATTGTTGGATGGGGAGTCAGTGTAGGTGTTGATCCCTGGTGCGGGAGTGGGTGAGGAGACGGGCATCATGATTTTGGATGTATTGAGGTTTATTGAGGGTTTTTGTGGGTAAACCCTAAAGGATGCTATTGCAGTCTTCTAGTTGTGAGAGTGACTGATCAAAGATGATGCCACGGTTACCGATATGAATGGGAGAGCCGTCAATAGAAAGTGAGAAGCCAGGACAGAATGTGTGAAGTGATTTTGGGTCGATGATGAGGATTTCTGACTTGTTGCTATTTTTGTTAGTTTGAGGAAGTTGGTCTGCATGCAGCTTTTTATGTCTAAAAGGCAGTTGATCATGGTAGAATGAGTGGCAGCAGTGTCGGCGGAGATTTAGAGATGGGTGTCATCAGTGTAGCAGTGGAAATTGAGAGCTTAGTGGCGTATGATGTGACTAAGAAGAAGTATGTAAAGGATAAAGAAAAAGGGGCCAAGCATGAGCCTTGGGGGACACCTTGGGTGACTGGGGCTGAGATTTATCCTGATGAACTGGTGGCGGTTGGTGAGGTATGATTTTAACCAGGAGAGAGTAGTGCCAGTGATGTTAAGGGAGGACTCAACGACGGGTGAGGAGGTTGGAGTGAGTTATGGTGTCCAAAGCGGCTCTGAGGTCAAGTAAGGGAGTGTTGAGGGAGTGAGTGTCAGAGGAGAGGAGGAGATCGTTGATGATCATTTCTTTTCCAGTCCTCTCCCCCCTGAGGAGCTTAACGCTCTCATCTTTGAAGCCAGCGGTCAGGACATCAGTGTTGCTGTTCTCACTCAGGTGATTAGAGGGATGACATGTCAATTTTTTTTTCCCCCCTCCTGTGACAACTACTGTGAGACGTGTGCTGGTCTTGCAGGAAATCATGGTCTACTTGGCTATGTATGTGCGCTCCCAGCCCGCCCTATTTGGAGACATGCTCCGACTGAGAATAGGACTCATCATGCAAGTGATGGCCACCGAGTTGGCTCGCAGTCTGCGATGCTCTGGTAGGAATTTGCTTGCTTTCACACTTTGGCACAGACCCACCTGCACATTCATGTTAACTGGGGGGCAGCACACACCCTCCACCATTCCAAGTGCTTCTGATTGACGTGTGAGCATATGGACAATTCTCCGAAAGATTCCAATAAATGACCCTCAAATATCAAAACACTTTAGGTGAAACTGATAAGAGTGGATATTTTGTCATCATTATTCAAATACTGTATACGAATGTAGAAAAAAAAGGGGATTAGCAAATAGGGCGGTTACTTCATTCGGGGGGCAGCCCGGTGGTCCAGCGCGTTGACCTCACAGTGCAGAGGTACCGGGTTCAATTCCAGCTCTGGCCTCCCTGTGTGGCATGCTATTAATACTTTTTAAAACAACCTGTAGTTGATAATTATGATGAAGATATTCTTCATAAGAAGGAAAACTGGAAAGTGGAAACTGACCCAGACCATACCATGAAAAATGAACAATAACATAATGGAATTGTTTCAAAAAGGCTTCATTCCTTTGTAGGGGAAGAGGCCTCTGAAAGTCTGATGAGTCTGAGTCCTTTTGGCATGAAGAACTTGCTGCACCACATCCTCAGTGGCAAGGAGTTTGGCGTGGAAAAAAGCAGTGAGTTTTCAACTACTTTATCTGAGTGAGAGCAGCAGGGAGTCAACCCGCTATTGGATTTCATTAGTGTCTGTAATTGGACCTTATATTCTGCCTGTTGGATATACATTAGAAGTATATTTTTTTATCCCTATGCATCAGTGCGACCCATCCAGTCAACAGCTACCAGTCCGGCCATCTCTATCCATGAACTAGGACACACTGGAGCCACCAAGACGGAGCGCTCAGGAATACACAAACTCAAGAGTGAAATCAGACTTGTTTATTTGGAGTCATTCCACTGTCAGCCACTAGACGGCATCAATGAAGTGTGTCAATAATAGTTTTTCTTTTGCCTTTGGTTGCAGTTGGATGACTCCCGGCCACTCAGTGTGGGTTTACAAAAAAAAAATATATATATATATATACACACACATAAATATGATGCTTGCTATTTGACATTTTCGTGCTGTAGTTCCATTACCGGAATGGCCGCTCACTCTTGCTCTCTCTGTACAAGATCATGAAATAATCTCATTTGTAACCCTTTTGAGCTGATTTCATTCATCGCATTACGCCTCGAAGGATGCATGAAGGCATCTCAAATTTCATGTCATGTGTCATCCATGTGCTTATGTAGATCGTCAGCGGCAGCCTCTCCACATGCAGCAATGTCACCTCTCCTCGCTCCACGGTAAAACATTTCACCTCATCTGCTTTCAATTCATTTCATTCGGCATTTGAAGGGTTCATTTTGATGATTTTTTTTTTTGTTCACTGAATGTTCACATGAAAGTATATTAACAGTAACTATATTTAAATGAACGTAATGTTTTGCAGGTAGAGCCTTACAATTTGGCTTTCATTTTTCTTGTCCTCAAGCCAAATCATCATTCCAGTATTCACAGTCTAACCTTGACTTGTGAGTGATTCAATCAGAGTTATTTTGAGATACAAGCCATCACTGGGCCGAATTTTGTAATCTTTTTTTTTTTGGGGGGGGAGGGGGGCTTGATTTGGTAATGTCACAATAAGAAACAATTTTTCAATTGTTGCCATTCCCAGTTGAAGTTTACTGTCAAACTAAACATAAAATAAAGATAATTATGTTTGTATATTTGAAATAACTCCATAATTCTGCCTTATATGAGAGTCTGTTAGCTTAAAGCTAACACACAATGCAAAATGTCTGAGGCGGGCTAACAAAACTAGCATTGTTGTCACAATGTTAACCCTTTACGCAATGGATATTGTAGCACAAATGGTGCCGTAACACTTATAAGCAGAATATCATATTTCCAGGCATTTTTTCTTCATCCTCTGTGAAAACGGCATAAAAAACAACAACACACAATAATGACACACAAGAAGGAGTTGCACAATAAATGAACTATACAAAAGCTGCTTAATTCTTTGCGTTCTATTTAATTGCAATTACTATATATATATATATATATATATATATTTTAATAAAGTACAAAAATGTAAGCACTATTTTTGTCAAATACAATATTTCTAATTGTAATTATTCTTATTTAAGTACATTGGGGCAGGGCCCGTGGGTATTAAATATAGCAAACATCTCTCAGTATGATGCAGTGCAGTTCTACACTGTGGCAAAATACAATATTCCTATTTTTATATTAATACCTCTCTGAGTGTTGTCATTAAAAGACACGGTTCTTGTTCTATTGCATCTCAATCAGACTGTGTAGGTGTACTAATGATGCGGAATCATCTTGAAAGGCTCCACTTTCTTTTAGTGCAGTGTTTCCCAACCGTCATTGGGCCATATTTTACATTACCTCATGGCACTCCACCATACATAATTGTCACAAAAAATGGGTTCATTCTGTATCTTCTGCTAACTAGTGGAAGATGTTATTATTCTGCCTGTCAGTGTATGTCACTGGCATAGATAGATGAACAGCAATACATTGTGTGTACTAAATGCATGACTTTTAGAAATTGGATCATTTCTCGGGGCACCCCTGATGATCTCTCATGGCACAATGGTTGGAAATCATTGCTCTAGTGCACGGTTCACAACAAATGCATTTAGGGCAGATTACGTTGCAACATGTAATCAATCACACTTCCGAAAGCAAGTCAAATATATTTCTCCGCAGCGTTGTAGCAGCCCCTCCACTCCCAGTGGGATGTTGTCCCCAGTGGGCTCTGGTCAAGGTGATGGGCAGCTGCACTGGGAGGAGAGGCAAGGCCAGTGGCTCAGGAGACGCAGATTGGATGGAGCTATCAACCGAGTCCCAGTGGGTTTTTACCAGAAAGTGTGGAAGATTCTGCAGAAGTGCCACGGCCTGTCCATTGATGGCTACGTCTTACCCTCGTCCACCACAAGAGAGGTAAGTGTCCATGTTTGTTTTCTGAAACAGGCAGGCAGTGACTAGGGAAAAGCAAGAACAGCTGGGACACACTTGGTTACTGCAAAAGATGCCAGGTTATCTTTTGTGTTCTTGACAATTAATTTAAAAGTTGAAAGACTTAATCATCATGAAATTTTGGTTGGTCATGAAGGGTGGATCGCAAATAAATGAGCAAAGGTGAAGGGTTGTAATAAATCCGTCGCCCTCGCCCGTGCATTGTGACACTGAAGACCCTCAAGCTCACTCATGAAACCGTCCGCGTTTGATAACGCTGTTCTTGAACCTCATACATTCTTTCGAGATGAAAAGTTGACCTTTCGCAGGCTATGTGCAGATGCACGAGTATTTTGTTACATGTATGAATCAACAAACATTGCATTTGGTGGACTTGAAGCGTTAAACATTTATGTAGGCTTGATTTGAGAAAACCTTTAGCATAACAGTCAGCTTTAATCAGACTTAACCCGTTTTGCACAGAACGTCATGTGACCAAACCCGGAAAACAGGTTAGCAGATTTCCTGTGTGTGCTGTGATAACTACTGGTTGATAAAAGCTTCTTATCCCAATTTTCGGGTGAAAAACAAATCTTTGTAGCTCACTAACCGTCAGGAAACACTGATCTGCATGGATGCTTTCTCCTGCCTTCTGTGTAGATGACAGCAAGAGAGATCAAGTTTGCAGTGCAGGTGGAGTCGGTTCTCAACCACGTGCCTCAACCGGAATACAGACAGCTGCTGGTGGAGACCTTGACGGTTCTGGGCCTGGTAGCCGACGTCGACGTTGACAGCATTGGGGGTGTCATCCATGTGGAGCGCATCCTACACATGGCCAACAACCTGTTCCTCAACGATCAGGTACAGTGTACTGATACCAAGGAGCCTCCTTTTTGGAGGACCGTGTCCACTAAGTCCTTCTTTCTCTCCATGCCCAGAAATCTCACAGTGCCTGTGACTATTTCCTTCAGAAGGACCCAGCAACAGGAATTTGCAACTTTTTCTATGACAGCGCCCCCAGTGGCCGTTATGGCACCATGACGTATTTGTCGAAAGCGGCGATCACATATGTTCAGGACTTCCTGCCGAGTTCAAGCTGCCTGATGCAGTGAAGAAGTAAATCATTCAAAAAAAATGCTGTCCAACATTTATTCAATGTCCTTGACATCCATCTTAACTCAACTGCATTTACAACAACTCAGCCCACTGGCAGAATGACTCTCTTACCAGTAATGTTTTTTTTCCTTACTAATATGTAGCCCATCAGTACAACCTTAAAATGGATTTTCTTGATATTGGATAAATGCTCAAACGTCTTTATTTCAAGATAACCATTATTAGTCTCACGATGGGGAAATAAGCATTACGGTAATTATTGCAAACATTACTTCAACAAGTGCCCTAGTTGCAACTGGTGTGCTGAATTGTCTTTCCAAACTAGGTGCTCCTGAAAGACATATGAAGAGGCATGTGATTGTAATATGTATCCGATTATATCATATTGTTATGATGGTCTTGACACTTCATTTGTAAACCTGGATTGTGCACATCATTTTAATCGGGATCTACAGTAGCTCACAAAAGTGAGTACACATTTCTGCATCTATGTAACTATATCTCTTCATGGGATAACACTGAAGAAATTACACAAATATATAACCCCTGGAAACAAAAATGAGTCCACCCCGAAGTGAAAATGTCCAAATTGAGCACAGTTTTGGTATTCCAGCAGTCAGAGTGGCCAGTGAAAGTTCAAAATGGCACTTCATGACAAAGAACTCTCTGAAGACCTGAAAAAAGTGTAGTTGCTCTGCATAAAGATGGCCTGCGCTATCAGAAGATTGCCAACACCCTGAATTTTAGCTGCGGCATCCTGGTCAAGACCATCTAGTAGTTTAACAGGACACGCTCCACTCAGAACAGCCCTCGCCCTAACCAAAGAATTGCTGTGTACATGCTCAGCGTCACATCCAGAGGTTGTCTTTTCAAAAATATGCACGTGATAGCTGCCAGTATCGCTGCAGAGGTTGAAAGGATGACGTGTCAGCCTGTCAATCCTCAGACCATATTCTGCACATTGCTCAAATTGGTCTGCACGGCTCTTGTCCCAAAAGGAGGTTTGCTGAAGACAAGCATACTTAGGACATGGATCACTGGAACCACGTCCTGTGGTCTGAGGAGTCAAAGATACTTACTTACTTGGTTCAGATGGTGTCAAACGTGTGTGGCGGCAACCAGGTGAGCAGTAAAATGACACGTGTGTCTTGCCTACAGTCAAACCTGAGGGTGGGAGTGTCATGGCCTGGGGCTGCACAAGTGCTGCCAGCATTGGGAGCTACAGTTGATTGAGGCAACGACGATTGCCAAACGTGGTCAAGATCATCTCAGAACAGCCCTCGAACTAACTAAAGAATTGCTGTGCACATACTCAGTGTCACATCCAGAGGTTGTCTTTTCAAAAATATGCACGTGATAGCTGCCAGTATCGCTGCAGAGGTTGAAAGGATGACGTGTCAGCCTGTCAATCCTCAGACCATATTCTGCACATTGCTCAAATTGGTCTGCACGGCTCTTGTCCCAAAAGGAGGTTTGCTGAAGACAAGCATACTTAGGACATGGATCACTGGAACCACGTCCTGTGGTCTGAGGAGTCAAAGATACTTACTTACTTGGTTCAGATGGTGTCAAACGTGTGTGGCGGCAACCAGGTGAGCAGTAAAATGACACGTGTGTCTTGCCTACAGTCAAACCTGAGGGTGGGAGTGTCATGGCCTGGGGCTGCACAAGTGCTGCCAGCATTGGGAGCTACAGTTGATTGAGGCAACGACGATTGCCAACATGTACTGCGACATACTGAAGCAGAGCATGATCCCCTCTATCTGGAAACTGGGCCGCGGGGCAGTATTCCAACCTAATGCACACCTGCAAGATGACCTCTGCCTTCTTAAAGAGGATGAGGGTAAAGCCGATGGACTGGTCAAGCAGTCTCCAGAGCTAAACCCTATTGAACCTTTCTCTGGGGGTATCCTCAAATGGAAGGTGGAGGAGTGTTAAGATCCTGAATGTCCACCATCTTAGGTTGAAAGGATGACGTGTCAGCCTGTCAGTGCTCAGACCGTACTCTGCACATTGCTCAAATTGGTCTGCACGACTCTTGTCCCAAAAGGAGGTTTGCTGAAGACAAGCATACTTAGGACATGGATCACTGGAACCGCGTCCTGTGGAGGAGTGTTAAGATCCTGAATGTCCACCATCTCTGTGATGTAGTCATGGAGCAGTGGAAGAGGATTCTAGTGGTAACCTGTGAAGCCTTGGTGAGCTCCATGCGTCAAGAGTGTGAAGGCAACACTGGAAAATAAAAGGTAGCCACACAAAATATTGACACTTTGGGCACTTTCACTTCGGGGTGTACTCACTTCTGTTGCCAGCGGTTTAGCTATTCATGGCTGTATTTTGAGGAAACGATAAATTTAGAGTTATACAAGCTATACACTGACTACTTTTTATTATGTCAATGTGTTATCACTTCAGTGTTGTTCCATGAAAAGATGAAATTAAATATCTGCTGCAATATGAGGGATGTCCTCACTTATAAGGTACTGTATTATGCATAAATGTGTTTTTTTTTTTTTTTTTTCCAAGAGTGTTAAGGCAACACTGGAGAATAAAAGGTAGCCAAAATTTTGACACTTTGGGCACTTTCACTCCGGGGTGTATTCACTTTTGTTGCCAGCGGTTTAGCTATTCATGGCTATATTTTGAGGAAACAATAAATTTAGAGTTATACAAGCTGTACACTGACTACCGTACTTTTTATTGTGTCAATTGTATTATCACTTCAGTGTTGTTCTATGAAAAGATGAAATTAAATATCTGCAGCAATATGAGGGATGTCCTCACTTATAAGTACTGTATTATGCATAAATGCAATTTTTTTTTTTTTACAAAGGCGGCCCAGTGGAGCAATGTGCTTAGCGCATCTACCCCACGGTCGGCATGTGGTGCTTGTGTCCGTCTGACAGTTCACAGGTTCTGGGTTTGAGTCCCAACTCTTTTATTCCAGAATTTGCATGCTCTCGCGGGGTCATGCGGAGATTTACGTGAAATGTTTTTGCATTCATGAGAGTAATGGGAGTTAAATGTGTAATGCTAATCCTAATCCATGTGTCTTCCATCATCACACAACTGAAACTACTTTTATTGTACACCAGCATTTGAACAAATATACTGTGTATGAATGGTGCCCAATGAATACTGTTTGAAAGTGATCAAGTACACACATTGAACAGAATATGCTGAATTATAACTACCTGTGTAAACCCAACAGGTTGACACTGCATCCCAACTGCTTTTAAAGGCAGAGCTATGCATGTTGATCCAAAGTTTCAGGAAATATCAGGATCGGACATATTTCGTTGTTCCCAGCCCAATTATGTGAGCTCTACACCCCTACCCCCATTTCTAAGTTGGAGTATAAACTACTCACAATCATTTTGGGATCGTGGGCTTTCGGGTGAAATTTCAGGATGAACCTTAAATGGCCAATAATATTTGCAGGTGAGCTTCATTTGACCTTATCTAAACTTTAGAATACTCTTGAATGTTTGGTACAACCAAAAGTCTTGGTTGTACTGTAGTGCATTGTAGGTTCAACTTAAAATTTCACCCAGAAAATGTTTTGTGAGTAGTGCATCTTTACATTGCAGTATAAATAATAATAAAAACGGCAGAATCACATTAGAATCCAGAATTCATTTCTAGGTCTCAGGATCCGCCATCCATTCACAAAAGTTCTGGCGCCTACTCTCCACTTGTCTTGAGTGGCTGATCTTTGTTGTCGAGCTTATGCACAACTCTAAAGGCCTCCAGGAACTCTGTGAAGTCTATGCTGCCGTCCTTGTTGAAGTCGATGCTTCGAGCCAGGTCATCAATGGCTCCGTTGGTGATGTCCACCCCCAAGTGTGCGCTGAAGAGACGCCACGTGTGACGGAACTCTTCGATAGAAATAAGACCTGAATATAACAACACAGATCTTCACCAATTTCAAGAAAACCAAATCATTCAGTACTACATTGCTTCATACCTGAATGGTCTTTGTCTATTATGTTGAATATGATCTCAATGTCTGTCCTGTATCGAAACAAAGTTTCTGCCAGGTTAGGTGTGACCTAAATGAGAGGAGAAAAGTAGGAATTTCAGTAGATATGTGTTGGCAGCATGGGTAAAAAAAAAAAAAATACAGGAAGAAAATAAAAATCGGCTCTTTCAGTTATATACAAAAAAAAAGATCCAAAAGTTCTCTCTCGAATATTCTATCGAAAGTGGATTCATGGATGGATGAATAGTTTGTAATGGTGCAGAAAGCAGATGTGTTGGACAAATGTGACTGCCCAGCTCGACTGAATGTTGCGGCTCGTAGAGTGTATATGGTCTGCTAACCTGAGGCAGCTGAATCCTTGCCCCCATGTCCTCAAAGCAGGATTGATAGTCCACACAGCCGTCTGGTGCCAGGTGAGCTAAATGAGAACAGAGGGTCCTCCAAGGCAGGTCCAGCTTCAGCACAGAACCCAATACCTGAGCCCATTCGCTGACCGTCACCCTACCTAGAGATTAGTGGTGGTTTATTAAAAAGTCGAATGCGTAGAAACACGGGGAACAACAGCGCTTGACGCTCACCGGTATTATTCTGGTCGCACTTCTGGAAGCCTGCAATGAGGTCAGAACGATGTGCAAACACTTTTTCTTTTAGGGCCCTGAGAGCTGAACCCTCAGCAGCTCGCACTCTGTGAACATAGTCAAATGTCAAAATCAGAATGAGTCATTGTTTTCTTAAGCAGCATTTAATTTGTAACCGCAGTGGGCTGCAAACTAAACTCAGGAGCCAATTTAAAGAGCAGGATGACTGCCATTGTAGTTACCGTAATATTGTTCCCATTGACTACTATCCACATTGTTTGTGTCGGTTTTCAGTCATTTATGTCAAAGGTTGAATTGAAGCAAGTTTGTTAGTTTGAAATTTTCCAAGTGTGGAGTGTCCCGGTTTAATTCTTTGGTAGGTTTTTCCCCATAGAGCACAGGTGTCAAAGTCAAGGCCCGGGGTCCAGATCTGGCCCGCCACATCATTTTACGTGGCCCGCGAAAGCAAATCAAGCATGTCAAGTTCCATGATGCTTGCTAAAGTCTGAACCAAAATTTCTAATTGTCATATGTGCTGTAATCCACAATGACAGTCATTATTCTTGACTTATGATTTTAAAACTAGTTATCCATCAATTTGTTGTGCACTGTATATGTAATATGTGGAGGTGATTAAACATTTATATGGTTTCCCAAAATTCATAACGGCCCTCCAAGGGAAACCGTAACGACAATGTGGCCCGCGACAAAAATGAGTTTGACACCCCTGCCATAGAGGGTTGTTTTTGGTGTGGCTGGTGAATGACTGCTGGGCATATTTGGGGATAGATTTCTCCCCCCAGAAAATTCTGACCACAGTTCAGAAATGATTTTTTTTTTTTTTTAAAGGAAATTTCTAGTTTTGCAAATTGCACCGTTGAAACATTAAGTTCTTGGTGAAGTTATACATCTGACCCAGATGAGCTAATGTGTCCTCCTGGGATAAGGAATACATTTAGTGAGCAATATTTTATTTTATTTATCCATTATTTAAATATACAATCAATTATGTTGATGCAAGATTATCTTTTTTGTCAGAGTACTTGTGGAAGGAATGCCTAGCCAAACGTAATCTTGATTTTTTAAAATTCATTGTTGTGATCCATCTGGTTATGATCTACCAGATAATTTATGGTTTAGGTGATATGAACATCTACCGCTTCTTAGAACATGCACCGTCAGATCACTTGAGTGGTCGTAACGATTTGGATTAAACATACTAATGGTTGCTTCCCTAATTTAATACACACAGACACCTGATGTACCTTTGAGTCAATGTGAGTTTGCGTGTTGAGCGGCTGACTTGGTACTGGTAGAAGCGTGGAACCAGTTCTCTCCCCAGTTTGATATAGGCCCCTCGGTTGCTTCCCTCCTCATAATAGTTGGAAGCAGAGAAAATGGTGATGACCTGGAGAAGAACAATAAATGTGTTTTACAGTATTTCAAATATTGTAATGGTGAAGCAAATGAGTGTACTTGGGCTACCTGGCCGCTGTGACACAGCTCATAACCTTCCTGTTTACACTCGTGGGATCTGATGATCAGCTGCAGGCCATGTTGGAGCAGCAGTCTCCGCGTGACGTCAGGGCCAAAGTAGCATCCGCCACCTCTGAATGTGTTTGGGCTGCAGCCTTCTTGGGTTTTGGGGTCACTCCACAGTATATCCACAATCTACAGGGAAGAGTTTGAGCTACAGTTTAGAGGGCTCTGCCGTGACTAGTGAATTATTAATTTAAAAAAAAAACATTCGGACTACCCCATAACAAGTTTGTAATAGATGAAGCAAGATGTTGGAAAAGCACTATTTTTGTCCAAATGAAACTCCTCAACTCACTTCAATATAGTTCCTCGGAACCAAGATGCCACAAGATGATGACAAAGCACGAATTTTGTCCAACTGAATAGCTTCAAGGTGGCACGGTGGTTGGCTGGTTAGCACGTCTGCCTCACTGCAGAGGTCGTTATGTTATATTCCGGCCGCCTTCCTGTGTGGAGTTTGCATGTTTTCCCCCTGTCTGGTATTCCAGTTTCTTCCCACATTCCAAAAACATGCATCGTAGGTTGATTGACCGCTCTAAATTGTCCCTAGGTGTGATTCTGAGCGCTAATGGTTGTTTGTCTATGTGTGCCCTGCGACTGGCTGGCAACCAGTCCAGGGTGTCCCCCGCCTACTGCCCGAAGACAGCTGGGATAGGCTCCAGCACCCCCTGTGACCCTTGTGAGGATAAACGGATCACAAAATGGATTAATGGGTCAATAGCCTGAACTCACATATTTCCTTGACAACAAGATTCCACAAAATGACGGCACAGCATTACTTTCGTCCAAATGAACCTTTCAACTCACTGAACTAGATTTCCTTGGCACCAAGATGCCACACGATGCAACCCCAAAAGGTTTCTAATAGCTACCCTATTGATGCCACAAGATGTTGCATTACTTTTGTGTAAATGAATCTCCTCAACTCACTTGACTAGAGTTGCTCCCAAGATGCCCCCTGCCCCAACCTAAAAGGCTTATAATTGCCCATTAATGCCATAAGATAGTGGCAAATAACTACTTTTCTATTTAGCTCGCACAATGGCCTGTCTCAAAGAAGCTTCTCCCCTCACTTCAACATAGCTCCTTGGCACCAAGATGCCACAAGTTTGCACCAAAGCAACAGAAAGCAAAATTCTGTTCAGAAGTACAATTAGTATAAGTATCTCTAGATAGAGCTTTGGGTTGAACACAAAAAACGAATAGTTGAATTTACAAATTTGGAATACGTGTGTGAACACTGTTCTGCCACCTGTTACCTGTTTCCATTCCTGCTCATTTTGTGGAGGCAAAGGAGGCGGAATGGAGGTTGCAGAATCCAGGAAAGGCACTTGGAGGATGTTTATGTTGTGTGGCATATTGGGAGACGACGGGCACGGATGAGGTGAAAAGCACAATGGTGGGTGTGGTGAGCAGAGTGAGGAAGACGATGAAGAGGATGAGGAAGAGGAGGAAGACATGGAAGCAAAGCTGTCTTGCTGGCTCAGTCTGGAGCACCTCCTTCTAAAGCGAAACAGAAAGAAAGGGCCTTAAGATGAGAGGACCGATGATGTCTGATAGGAATCCCCATCTGGTTGAGCTCTGACCTCATGTTTGGGGTTCTTTGGTTTTTGGAGTGACTGCGAGAAGTGTCTGTGGATCTCATTCTTTTCATCTGTTTGTTCGACCGACCGATGTCCAGCTGCTCCAAACTGCGTCTGGGAAGCCTCAGCGCAGATTTAACCTGGTAAATAAGTAAATAATGTGAGGCACAAATACACCAGTCAGTCAGTCTTGTTTATCCAGTATAGCACGTTTCCAGAGAGAGGACTCACATTGGGCTTCACATGTATAAAATACTGACTTTGAATGACATTTGGGTGAGACGAGGGTTCGGACTGGTTGTCAGTCAATCACAGAGCCAGTTACTTCTGTTTAATATGTGTCTACGGTTGAGCTACACTTGAATTAAATTGAATACAACTTTATTGTCAAATTTTCACTTCTATTCTGTGTCAACACAAGTGCATGTTTCTGTATTCTGCGCACGGATTATTTGGACTTAATTATGTCCTGAAATTCTGGAATGACCCATATAAAAACTTTGTGTTCCTTTCCACAGTTTGAGCATAATCAGGCTAGTTCTGAGCTCTACAAGTTATGCTGTCATCGGTCTATATTGGTCCAGGAGCGAAGTAAGCCGTAAATGAATTCTTCTGCCTACTGGTGACTGATCTATATCAAGTGCAGATATTTGCCTCACTTCCTGACCTTGTGTCGGTCAATGACACTGAGGAAGTCAAGGTCAGTCTGGTCTGATATGCCCCCATGAACAATTAGGACCTTCCCGTCTATCACTGTGGCAATGGGCAGAAAACTGAAGACGTCCTGAAAAAGCTGCAGGATCTCACAACCATTAGCCTGTAACAGAGACGTAAAACATGTTATATCCGGAAGTGTCTGCATCAAGGAATCATGATAGCACTGCTAAGTCATACCTTGTACTTCTGCATGACCTCTTTCGTGAACCCATATCTGGAATGAACCGCCCCCAATAATAGATTAATTCAAAGGTTACGGTCCGCAAGCGCCCTTGATTCATGTTTTAGGTATTATTTAAACCTTTAACCTCTAGGCTCTATGGCCATTTACGTCCACCTCACTTATCGTATTTTCCGCACTATCAGGCGCTTCGGAGTTGAGGAGCACCTTCAATGAACGGCCTATTTTATAACAGTTTTCTGATATGGGGCGCACCGCATAGAATAGAAGCTACAATAATGGCTGCGGTTGCGTTATGCATCCACTAGATGGGGCTATGCTAAAAGGAATACAATACCATACAGCTTTATTTATACCGAGCTTTTACAACCGCTGCAGTTGTAACAATGCGCTTTACAGAACATTTAAAATACTATGTCCAAGAAATCAGAATACTGATCCATTTTATAAGGCGCATCGGATTATAAGCCACATTAATGCCTTTTGAGAAAATTGAATGCTTTTAGGTGTGCCTTATTGTGTGGAAAATATGGTACTTTTTATGAAGCATTTTTGCTGTGTTAATGCATCGATAATAAAACTTCCAAAGGATGAGAATTTTTGTCAGGTGTTGGTATACATATCAATACAAAGTTTATATCCAGTTGTACCTTTTGGCCATGGACACGAATTATATTTCGCATTTAAGAAGTGGAACAAAACGGATTATTTTTTTTAAAGATTAGTCAAAAAGTAACCAAAAACATTTTAAAAAAAAGATAGTCCACGAACAAGCAAACGTACTTTTTTCCCCCCTGTGTTTATACTCTGTTTCCTGTTTACCTGAGGTTCATGATGTGGTCCTCGTGGTTTCCTCGGTTCAGATGCATGTAGTCGGGGTAAAGTAGAAGGTAAGCAAATAGGAGAATTACCACCTCGATGGACTTTTTCCCCCGGTCCACAAAGTCTCCGTTAAACACATATGGCGTCTCAGCAGAGGGGAGGCCGTTCTGATCAATAGAAAGTCAAATCAGCCACAGGAATGCAGCAGGTTCTCAGTGAGTGGATTGCATTCAGCTCGCCAAAATAACAAGCTGAGTCTCGCTTGACTCGGCTACCAAAATCTGAAATTTCGAGGTTACCAGTCACCAAACCATCGATGTTGCAATTTCCCAAAAAGCACACATCAGTACTTGGATCGAAATGAGTTTTTGTGCAAGTGTGACACAATTTTAATTTGACTATATTCATTTTTGTACATGCTGTTGTCATGTTCATCTTCATTTTCTTAAAGCTTCTGTGTCGTACTATTTTAAGCCTTCCACTGTTAAGTATAGGTATAAATATATCATTCTACATTACCTTTGGAACAATGGCGATCTAATTTCTTTTGAAGTATGAATTATTTTGGTTGCAATTTTTCTAACCTTGAAGTAAGACACCTGTCTCAATGAATATATTTGTATGTGTTTACAATGGTAAGTTTTCCAATTTGTACATTTTCTTGATCAAAGTGGTTTACGACTGAGCAACAACAGGAAAATGCAGCTCCCACGGTTACAACACTTGATAAATTCTTGGTTTAACCAAAATCTGTAAAACACCCTTGTTATAAAACCAAAATCACAGTGTCAAGACATTCTTTACCTTATAAAAAATAAGAAGCAAGTCATCAAGTCGCCCATGAAGATCACCTACACAAAATAGAATACATGCATAAAGAGGACAGTTAAAGGGGTTGTACAACGTTTAATGCACCCTACATCAGACAATTTGGAGATCATGCCACATTTTTCAGATGCTTCCAAGTGAGACCATTTTTCTTTTTTGGTAATGCCACCGCTGAAGAGGTAAAGTGTGCTATTGACCATTGAAAGTAAACAGATATTATGACATGGCAAAGTGGTAACTGTCGCTGCATATATTGGCAATGAATAAATGAATAAAAAAATTACTACAGCAAATAAATGTTTAAAAATAAGTTCTGAAGGATTAAGTTCAAATGCATTGAAATTAAAAGTTAAAATGAGCTGAAGTGGACTTGGGCAGTGATTCTTTTGCATACCACTAGAGCCAATCTGCATACTTCTCGTGAAGTGGTTCTCAATTTTCTTTTACACCAAATACAACCTAGGAAAAAAATGCTTGGCTCTCCAGGTACCACCATCATGACCGATATTAAAATGCAATACATAGTGTTCATCAAAAACAATTTCCCTAAAAAGTATTTGATGATATTGTAACCTGCTGTAACATTATGCACAGTTTGAACATTAACTCTATGCTAACTCTATATTTTAGCCTAAAATATAGCAGAGAAAAAAACTAATTTCATTTCATGTCTTCAATTAAAATATACTACAATTGTACATAAAAAAGTTTCAAAACAAATAGTTCTTAAATATAGGATACATATTGAAGGTTTCAAGTTAAATACTGTATGTGCTCAGACAGTGATTCTTTGAATGGAGAACAAATGTTTTATGATGATTCTTTTGAGAAAGTTTGTTTGAAATATTGTCTTCACCTGTAAAATGTTTCATCAGGTGTTCTTTAAATAATATGATGTGACTAAGCAGGGACAGGCACACGTGGACGGCGACTCAAGTGCTTGATCAATAAGCAAATCAAGATTATGTCCTTTCTTGGAGAGCTGCGATGAAGACGCGGCCGGCTGTTTTTAAAGCCCATCAACCACCTTTTAACCAGTAGGCAGGTTACTGTTGTTTTGAGTATGCAACATCCACCTACCACATATTGTGATCTCCTTGGTGTAAGATGTGGAAAGGTGGATGATGTTGGGCATCTGTTTGAGGAGCTTCTTGGTCTCATACAGTAGCTGCAGCACATATCTGGCGTGGAGAGTCTGTGCAGCAGAGGATCCCTGTCACATTCTAAGGCTGCACTGGAAGACTTTCTGACTAGTAATGTGTTTCCACTATGCTATTTATGGCCTACTACTAAGCGTCTCAATGGAAACTCTCATATTCAGCTTAAGGTCTATGTACTAGTATTCTCTTTGTCCTTCCAAATAAGACTATTCAGTGCACTAGTGGAACACCTGTGTCTCACTACTAATGTTGTTTGCCATTCCTCGTGCCACTTTTGGGCCTTTTATTAGGGCAATCAAGCCTCATTCATAAACTACATTACTGCACTAGTAACATTGTTATGGCAATAGGTTTGCTATTGCACACTACTGTATTTGTGACACACCAATAGCCTAGTGCTAATAAAATGCTTCTAAAACAAATTGTAATTTTATCTCACGAGTAACAAGTTGTCCTACTGGCATGCAGGAAATAATTCGGCACACTCGGAGAATGACTATCACAAACAATCACAAATACAACTGTACTGAGCATTTATGAGATATCCTTGGTATAAAGTTTCAAGTTCACATCTGATAGTAGCACTGCTAGGCCCAACTACTCGGCATGTGTCATGCAATAGTCACCTTCTGGACCCAAGTAGTTTCGCCTCACGAGCAACATTAAGTTGTGCTACCAAGTATGACAAAGTTTTCCTACTAGTGTGCAGAAATGTCATACAGTGGTGGAAGGCAGGAGTGAAAGTGCTTCTAATAGTGCACCCTAGTTGTTCTACAAGTTCTACATTTGACATGAATAAATGCATGAACAGTTTTCCAAAAAGCCATTTGAGCTGTTTTTTAATATCCGGCTTAAGGTCCATGTACTAGTCCACTCACTGGCCTCACTAGTAAGAAGACGATTCAGGGCAATGATGCATACGGGTAATGCCTTTTTTTCCCACTCTTTTCCTGAAAATGTGTGATCCTACTTTGTTGCATTTCCACACACCAGTCATATTTTCTATGACTTGTGCCCTTTTTGACCTACTTGTTCAACCTTGACTTAATATGCAAACGGCTTTATGGAAAGTGGGGACAAAAAGCATACAGTATGAGAACATGGACCTTAAATGGACATCAAGGTTATCAGCTTTCCACATATGTGACAAACAATTAAAGGGGTCACAATGTACCTGCTGCTCCTTAAAGGCACTGAGAAGAGCATTTGTGTCTGACACGGAGAGGGGAAACGACAGCCGCGGTCCGACGTATGACTCTGGAACGTGGATGGAATCGTAGCAGGCCTCTCGGTCCAACCAGGGGTCAATCACGGGCTCCAGAAGCTGGGAAATCAGATCTATTGACCCCAGCGAGGGAAGTCGTGCGAACACATAGCAGAATCAGGTGTACTGCTGGGTTACAATGACAGCAATATTATTCATTTAAACCAATTGGGCACAGTGTTAACTGTTAAAAAAAAAAAAAAAAGACACAGACATCTCAAACTGTACCTTTAAAACTGGATGAAGTGAACATCTTTTAGGAAAGAGTACCGGTATGCTTAAATATAAAATGCTGCTGCATGCTTTCTGGTTAAGATTTTGATCTGCAGTTTCAACCAGGAGTGTTCGATTTATTGCTGGATTTCCAGAATCATCACAAATAATCTTCACAATATAATGAAAAAAAATCACAATAACAAATAATCAGTTGTGATATAAAATTAAAGTCAATCATCACCCTGCAGGCAAGGGTGTATACTGGTGCCAAGTCCACATATGGACACCCTTATGTTTGAACATGGCATTCGTTATGGACAATCCTTGATGAGCACAGAAGTCCCATAACAAAACACCACTCGAGTTCTGATCGTGGGGATGCGGTTCCTTCCAAACACACCCTTTCAGGTCTCACTGTCATTGCCCACGTGAGCATTGAAGTCACCAAGCAGAACGAGGGATTCCGCAGAGGGAGCAAGCAATTTTAGAGACAAAAATAGTTTATTCCACTTTGTGCTCAATGGCTGATTTGCCAAGACATCACTTTAATGATCCTCAAGTAACTGAAGAAAGAAATTAAATAGGCTTTCTCATATTTTATAATTAATACTGTTTCAGTGAGAATTGGTTATGTTATTGGACTACAAAATGAGGTCATCTTTTTGGGCACACCTTTTATATAAGAATCACAAACAGTTATCTCTGAACAGCCTTGATTCACCCTCCTCAATGCTTTGTGTATTTGCCTCCAAGGGCGAAATAAATGTCCTCTGTTGTGCCCCACACAGATGTCGTGTGTCATAAATGGCAACAAGGGTCTGGCCTTTTTCCATCACTTCATTTGACTCAAAAGAAGACCATCTAGATGATGAGGATTAGCTTTACAATGGTGCATAAGGCTTTTTAGATGAATGAGTGGGTCAGTGCACCCTTAAGCCACAGCTGCCTCAGTGCCACACGCCACGTTCACATTAGTTGCTAGGCAACGCAAAGGGGCTTTCACATCCAAATAAAGAGCATGGCAAACGAAAGTGGTGTGTCATTTGATTGACTGAAGGCTGAATACAAACACGTATAAACATGATGTGATTTTACCATTTCAATTGCTCACACCCTTATTAAATACTTGTGTGTGTAATGTACTGTAACGTCCACTTTTTTATTAAAGCAGTGGTAAAAAGGGATCTAGTGAACCCCTATTAATCACCAGGTGAAAACAAATGATGTCGAGAAAGCATAAAAGTGTGTGCTGGAAACTGTTTTGAACAGTTTCCAGCACACACTTTGAACACATTTATTAAATAAGATTCCAAATGTGCTTGCTTCAAGCTGATTATTTGTCACTCCCAGCTGAAATTTACGATGAAACTGACACATAAAACAAAGAGTTAAACATTCTGTGGTGGTGCCTTGAATTAATTCCCTGGCCATGCTCATATTTCAGAACACTTCTATCTGAAATCATCTTAGGCTACCGAAGTCTCTTCCAGCCTAAAAAAAAGAACAACCGAACACATTTATAATACAATATAGTACTCCATAAAAACATGGAATTAAAAAAATAGTTTGTGCACGATGATTTAATGCTTCAATTCACTCTGCTCCTCCTTCCGGTGTGTCCACCTTAGTCACTGGAGGCAGCATAATACAGTCGTACAGACAAAAAAAAAAGAAGGCTCAGCACTATTCACAGCGACTCATGAATCTTTTTTTTTTTTTTTTTGCAGATGATAAATAATACAGTATACCTTATGCCTGCAAATATTGTAATCTTATCTGTCAACATGTGTTGCTCCACTACTTGTGTACAAACATCCATTGCTTTTAGGGTCTTTCTTTTGTTTGACCCTCTATGACGTTTCCCATTATGTTTTAGGATTAAGCTAGCGGGGGAATTTCTGCAGCACGCTTGTTTGGTCTTTTTAAATTGACAACATGTTATTCTCTCTGGTTTAGCTGTCGTTTGATTGTAAAGTTCAAGTAGGAGTGGCAATAACCACCTTCGAGCCTCTTTTTTAAAAATAATTTTGTCCACTATGTGTCAAACTGCTGCTTGTCGAGCTGAGTTGTTCATTGTACCAAACATCACATAAAAATAATATGGCCAAAAAAAAAAAAAAAAAGTCCAACTTCAATTGTCTGATAAAACTGGGAATGTTTTACAGTTTATGCAGTGTGTCGTCGTCGTCTTACCTGGCCCGTTCCCATTCAGCGGAGTGAAGTTGTCGAGCATGAAGCTGAAGAAACCGGACAGCTGAGGAAAACACCATCAAACAAAAAGCTAGCAGCGAGGTGTGGATTACAGGGCATTTTACTGACATCTCACAGTATTTCCTGTCCTGGAGACTCGCCTGGAGCTGATCTTGTTCACCGGCGTATTCGATGGATTGGAAGATGTTCCATGTGTACCTTCGCCTCATTTCCAGGCGGGCCATGTAGCGGCGGTACCAGCGCTGGATCAGCACAGCTGCCTTCATAGCTATGTGGGCGACACAACATGCAGCAACATTGAGCTGTGCTACTAGTATGCCAAAGTTGTCCTAATAGTATGCAGAAATCTCAAATAGTCGTGGCAGGCACGAGTAGAAAAAAAATCGTTACAGGTCACAATCATTTGACTTGTGTGCCATAGTGATTCGATGAGTGCGCTGACTTATTACAGGCGAGGAGACTGGTACCACTGTACTGGTACTTGGGCCTGAAGCTCATAAGAAAATGCTCACATGGTGCTAGTGTGCTTATTCCAATATTGTCCTCATTAGTAGGAAAAAAATTCTAGTTAACATCTTGTGCCTCATTAGTAGGGCCTTTCCGTGAAATCCCCCAGTGGGTTGAACCAAGTATATTTTGATTTAAATGAAACTTAGTGTACTTGTTGCTCGTGATGGCACAACAATAACTTTCAAATTTTAGGTCAATCGGAGCAGTGGATTGGGAGCTACGGGCCACCACACTTTGATGTGTTCTGCACAAAGGGGTGTGGCCACCTTCCTTTGATTCCCTATCGTTCAGGAACAACTGAGTCAATCTTCACAGCACGGGTATTGTTGGAAAGGAAATTCAACAAGGATTCGAAATCCATAACCGTTTCCAAGATTTATGTATATTTTAGTATCTTGACCTTTTGATCTATAATTTGACCTTGACATTTGCCTCGTAGATCACATGACCATAACTAGTATGCCCTTGCGGTTTGACCAGTGTGCTGAATTGTCTGATTAGTAAGCACAAAGAGGATACACTAGTGCATGGATCTTAAGCTGGATATAACTGATAATGGAAAAAAAAACACTTTTTTACCGCCGCAGCTTTTGTGAAAGCGCTTTATAAATCAGGATGTATTGTATTGAATTGGAACAAATGCTCAAACGGGTTTCCATAGTTATCTGTAAGTAGTACATTATGTTTGTCCACTTAGACTAGCATTGGGTCATGGCCCTATCAGACTGGTTTTAAGAAATCATTTGTTCTTACTTAGTGCTGGATTGGGTGTCTTTGCTTCATCTGTGGAAAGAAAAAGAGAAGTCATTATTGGAACGTGTTAATTGAATAGAATGACTTGCAAAGCAACGTACACACAGCGACAACTTAAGGGCGGAGTGTTAACAAGGCACCAGGGAGGGCAGAGCAACAGCGGGACTGGAAAAGCGCCGCAAATTACACAGCCTTCAGGACAAACAACAGAAGAGGAGACACTAGAGATCAGAAGCATCTGTCACAAACGTACAGCGGTAATCTGTTAACAAATGCCGCCATTTTCTCTTTGCTAACAAGGAGCTGAATGGGAAAATTCACAACAGGTGTTTGATCCATGAATGGACCAATGCATTTCCTGGTTCAACCAGATTAGTATTAAAACAATATTCATCATGCTGGTGTCATTTTGATATCGTGAGGTTAAGATGACACCTAACAATTCATCAAGAGTACTTTGAGGGTCATCAGAAGGTTACAACAGAGGTGCAGACCGGGAGAGTCACAGAAAGGCATAGACATGGACGCCATTGGAAATGTGTTGCTCGATTCATGGATCATATCTCCTTGTTAGAGAAAAGCAATTTGCGCAAAAGGCAAAGAAACACTAAACAGCTGGACGTGAATTTAAAAGTTTAGAGAAGATCAAATTAAGGTTCCAGGTTATGGTTCATTTTAGGTTCATCCTGAAATTTCACTCAGAAGCTCATTACCCCTTTATGTCAGTACTCTGTGCGTCCTCAATTGCTTCCTTTCAGTTTGAGTGAATTGAAAAATTCTTCCACTGATTAACAATGCAACACCTCAATTGTTTTTGCTGGATCATCCAACAAAGGTGAAGAACCTTGAATTACATTTTTCTTAAAAGACACCATTGCCAAAAGAGAGCAGATTTCACAACTTTAGAGAAACGTTTATGTTATAGCAACCCCTAAGTACCTGTCACCCTTGTCACTTGCGTCTCTATGGCAATCGAGGCGCCGCATCCCATGATGAACAGCTCACGAGTAGCATCAATGGAAAAAGGTGGCTCACGTCGAGCGGGTGGAGTCTGGCACGGCGTCTATGGTGAGGCAGGCGTGCTCGGCACACCATTGAGACAGAAAGAGAGAGCGTGAATACAAAATACTAAATCTTGTGGTACTCTTGTGCCCTTGATTTGAAGTTAAGGTATAAACAATAAATACATCAATTCTAGAAAATATCAATTAACATTTAAAATTTGGATTCAAATTAAAACTCGGATGGAACAACAATGCTACAAGAGCCTTCACTTCTTTTTGACCATCAAAAGTGACTCAACCAAAAAAAAATTACTTCAGTTAGCACACAATTTGTCATTTTTTGCCATCTGAATGTTGATTAAAATTTTAGAAATTGGAGCGAAATGTATGAAATTTTAGTCAGAAATTTAATGGTAAATTGTTGAGTAAATGCCAGCTCAGATGGCAATAAAAAATAAAAATAAAAAATAATAGCACAAGCTCCAACCTAGAATTTTTCTCATTGTATTTTTTTTTTAAATTTGAATTTAAGGCATTTTATGTCATCATTGTCCTGTGAAGAACACATGCATGCCCATTTTTAATGAATAGGGTGTCCGCGTTTTGGACACCCCATTAATATAAACAACTTTTTACAATGACAAAAATGGACATGGGTGTTTTTCACAGCACAGCAACAATATAGTAGAAAGCCTCAGCTAAAATTTGATGGTGAAATGAAAGATGTGAGAAACTAAAAAAGACAGGATATCCGTGCTACCCAAGTTCCAATATGAATTGCTACTCCCATAATTGCATGTTTTTTGCACCATCAGTTTAAATTTGAATTTATTCCTCCCCCCTTCCCCTCACTCAAGCGTTTTGATTAAATAATTCTGTCGAAACCTTGTCCTATCCATTTGAATTTGAATTTCAATTTACTTTTTTTACACTAGAAAGGTAAACAGATCACTGATCAAAATTTGGTCTAAAATACATTATGCTTAAAGAGCATACTAGGAACTGCATTTGAAATTGAACAAATCATGAAATGTAATTTTAATCAGCTAATTACAGACAAAAACAATTGGGTGAATGAAGCACGCAATAATCCTGCTTCCTTAACACCAGCAAGGCTCTTTGTCCTGAGCGATGCCAACAGATTGAAAGCAAGTGACGCTCCTACCTGCACAATGTTTACAAGCGAGGCACAAACAACCAGAGCGTTCCACGTGCCACACATCCAACTTTAGACGCCAACAGAGGATGTTCAGGTACTTTTTCCATTGCAGTCTTTGCCGTCTTTATTTCATGCCCATGTCTGAGGCGGAGACTGTGCAGCCCAGGAGGAGGAGGAGGAGGAAGAGAAGATGAAGGCAACGAGGAGGCGGAGGAATCGTCAGGCGATCCCTTAACACTGATGTAGTTCAGAGAGTCTCCAGCCAAGGTGCCATGAGAAATTATCAGGCAGGCCACAGAAAAGCATCCTATTTTATTAGTCAATTAACAACACATGGGAAATCTCATATTGCTATAACTCTTAATTTCATCATTGGAATACTAAGGGTGGAACAACGCAGACATCAATTTTATATTCTTTACCCTCAGCAAAGAATCATTACTTCTGACTGAAGTTCTGAGACAAGCTTCATGTAGCCCTGTCATTATTTACATCGCCTCCATGTGGCCAAAGCACTCACGGTAGCAGCACAATGTGCAGAGAAATGAAGTTAAAAATGTCGGGAAAAAAAAAAACTATTGCATCGTCAATGCATTTAGTAACTATCAGGAGCTATTTTTCTTGCTATTAAAAAAAAAATTTGCAAGTGTTTTGCAATGCGTGCTTTGAGATACAAGTCTTAAGTTAAGAGCAAGCCACCATTAAAGAAAAAATTGACAGCATTTTTCAATCTAGACATTGTGCAAACAAAGTGCAATTTGAAAGGTTAAAACTTTAAAAAAAATATTTTTACACTCATAACAGCTTTGTTAAAGCACTCTGCACTATTGTAAACACACCATCTGTATGTGGCCAAAATGGCCAAGAACAAGCTGAAACGTTTTTTTTTTTTTTTTTTAATAAAATAAAAAGAGCCCATGGTTTAATTAAAATACTCTTTAATAATATATAGTCAATTGGCATTAAAAATTTCATGCTGCAACCTTGGTACAAATCTTGTGTCGTACGAGTGTGACAGCAGCGTTGATCTCGTGCAGGGTGATCACTTTGTGTCGCTTTGTTCTCGAGAGCCTGGCAGCTTCCAAGCTCACCAGTCCAAGCACAAGTGGTCTGGGCAAATTGTGACTACCGAGCAGGAAATCCAGAGCCCCCATCCTGACTGCCGTGACCTGCGCAAGGAGATGAAAAGGAAAACTACAAAACATGTATTGCCATCATACCAGTGTATGTATTAAAACATTCTAATGTGACAACTTTCACATTCGAATATAATATGCTTGAGATCAGGTGAGGTCACTGGCAGAGGTTTTTTTTTTTTTTTTTGGGAACTTATAAATATATGAAAGATACTCTTCTATTACACTGGGAAATAAGGCCAAGAGTGAAAAATGAAATAACTAAGAAAAGGTCCACATCTCAACATAGGGCTCCACCGGTGACCGAAATCTGAAGGAATTTCATCATTTTGTTCTGCCAAATGCGGAAGCCAAACTTATCACATTTTAATGTTAATGGTTTAACTAAAAAAAGTTATTTAACTTTTTTTTTTTCCTCATGCGTCACTTCTATTGAAAACGCAAGGAATTCATTTCAAACATGAACCACAATCACTGCCCTTGCTGGCGTTCTGACCTCTTGCTGAGCTAAGAGAGCGGAGCGAGCACAACACCTCTTCTTCTTCGACACTGCTTGGGCAGGAGCCTTCATTGTTATTATTGGTGATGTTGATGTTGTCTGGATTGTCTCAATGTAGTCAACCAAGCAAGTTTTCTTCCCAAAGGCGAAGCGCAGCAAGGAGGGAGTCAAAAGTCAGCAGATGCGTTGGATGAAAGACACGCAAGGGTGCAAAAGGGTGTTTTTAATGAGATCAAATTAAAAACAGCTTTTCCTAATGAGGCTTAATTACTCTCAAACAGCCATCTTTGACAGCCTTGGTATGCTGGGAACACATGCAGTGTATCTGTGACACCTTTTTAAGGCCCCACCCCACCTTTTAAAACATTTTAAAAAGCTGAGTTTGATCTTGTGGTTTTAACACAATTTATTTTTTACCATCCATTTTTGTAACCAAATTTGTTTGTTGTAAAGTCTTCTACATCTTACATTTAACATATTAAATTCCAAGTTTTCATTCGTATAAATATTTAGTAAAAAAAAAAGATAAAAATTGGGTTGCACAGGTAAAGTATATCGTGATTTTTGTGCTATCTCAGTTTAAAAGTAAGAAATATTTTTTTGTTACTTTTTTTGATAAAAAAAAAAATCTGCGTTACACTTAATGAAAAAAAAACGGTTGGAAATTTAGATGGCACAGATTTATCAAGGTGTATCTTCTGTAAAGTATCTTGGATTCTGAAGCTTGTGATTATTGTTGTTAAAAGTGAAGACATATTACCGGTAACTAAAAACACCCTAAAAAATGTTCGATAAATGTAATACTGTATTGTATATAGTATAGTACATTATATAGTCCAGGGTACATCTTGGATAGGTCGCCAGCCAACAGCAAGGTCCACATTGACAAACCTCTATTCATTCAAGAACAATTGTACATCCTTTGATGAACTCAACATAGATCTTTTTGAAATGAGGGTTTTGGGTTTTTTTTTTTTTTTTTTTGGTACTGGATTCCTGCCCAGCAGCAAATGTAGTTTAATCTCATCATAAACTGCCACCATGATAACAAACATGCCAACTGTGTGGTCTCCCACCGCACACGCCAGCTGTAGAATTGTAGGAGGGGCTTTACCAGATAAGGATGGCATTAGGTTGGGTCGACCGTGTCCTGTGGATTATTGTAATCCAGATTTTGTATGAGTGCTGGTTTGCTTGTTCTTTGCTTGCTCAGTTGTGTCCTGCATGTGTGGAGGCTGCAAGATGGCTCTCAACGTGCGTCCTTTCCTGCCCACTCTGCTTTTGATGGCAACTCACGGTAGGATTTGATTTGCTTTATTGACTTGTGATGCCAGACCTGATGCTCACTGTGTACTCACATCTTTTGCCATCTGAGTCTGAATTTCTTCTCAGAATCTCAAATTTAAACTTCACAAATTGACTTCCATATCTTGTTTTTTCACCTTTAAAAATGACAGTACGGTTTATTTAGTCTGCTTATTTTCAGTGACTTCTGCGTATACGTGCTGACAGATTGATGGACATATTCTGTTTGTTTGAATTGGGGATAAATGTGTCCTAACAGTCTCTTTGATGAACTCAAAAAAAGTCTTTTTGAAATGAGGGTTTTGGGTTTTTTTTTTTTTTTTTTGGTACTGGATTCCTGCCCAGCAGCAAATGTAGTTTAATCTCATCATAAACTGCCACCATGATAACAAACATGCCAACTGTGTGGTCTCCCACCGCACACGCCAGCTGTAGAATTGTAGGAGGGGCTTTACCAGATAAGGATGGCATTAGGTTGGGTCGACCGTGTCCTGTGGATTATTGTAATCCAGATTTTGTATGAGTGCTGGTTTGCTTGTTCTTTGCTTGCTCAGTTGTGTCCTGCATGTGTGGAGGCTGCAAGATGGCTCTCAACGTGCGTCCTTTCCTGCCCACTCTGCTTTTGATGGCAACTCACGGTAGGATTTGATTTGCTTTATTGACTTGTGATGCCAGACCTGATGCTCACTGTGTACTCACATCTTTTGCCATCTGAGTCTGAATTTCTTCTCAGAATCTCAAATTTAAACTTCACAAATTGACTTCCATATCTTGTTTTTTCACCTTTAAAAATGACAGTACGGTTTATTTAGTCTGCTTATTTTCAGTGACTTCTGCGTATACGTGCTGACAGATTGATGGACATATTCTGTTTGTTTGAATTGGGGATAAATGTGTCCTAACAGTCTCTCATTGTCATCTGTGGCTGCCTGGACATTTGTTTTTGTCGCTCTCCATCTGCTTGAACAGTCATCCTGAGCAGCTATGCTCAAGAGGTATGAGGTATCTGCACCAACACTACAGCATTGTGCATGAAAATGTTGTTTAGTACATAAAAATTCTACTTAGACAGTGGAAATGAAAAGTCAATTAGACTGGACCATGTTGGGTCAACCGACATAGACTAAGACAAATGTTTATTACTGAGTGTGTAGTTTTTAGTGGCACCCTCTGCAGCACAATGCTGTTTCTAATATTTTGGTTATCTTTTTGAAAGCTGTTTGAGTATTTATTCAATGGCCTTGATATCAAGCTTGAGGTCCATGTATTAGTACGCTCGTCATCCTCACTCGGAAGAAAATTCAGAATAGCAACAGAATGATTGTCCTACTTGTCGTGTTTTTTTTCCCCATGACTATAAGACTAGTAGGACAACTACATGTTTCTGTGAGGCAAACGTGTACTAGATGAGACCTGTGCTAATAAGGACAATTTTACTAGTGGCAGTTTTATGGTAAGTTTAGATACATGCACCCCAAAAATCTATGAAGTAACGTGGTGTGCCTCAGGGTTCAATTTCAGGTCCTTTATTGAAATAATTAATGCTCCGTCTCTGCAGTGTCCTCTGGAGGCATGGTTACATTTGTGTGTCTCCTGATGAAAACCGATGCGAGGGCTGCACTTTTTAACTGTATCTGTGCATGAGTACAACTGCCGTGTCTTTCTCGTGACATATTGTCCCGCTACTGTAAGACTTTTCTGCACACTAGTAGGACAAATTACATGTTACCACTGAGGCAAAACTACAAGTGGTATGTTGTACTACAGTAGTGACTTTGTAAAATTCTACTAGTGAACATCCCCCGATACACTAGTAACATGCAGTTGTCCTACTAGTCTGCCCATGGTCTCTTACTAGTGTAAGAAATGCGATACGGTAGTGGAGGAGAGAAAAAAACAAACAAACATTACAAACAGTGAAAATGAGTTCTATTACATTGTTGACACTTGCCGGTTTTGTCTTAAATTATGCAGTTGTATATTAATACTGGGTGGCCCGGTGTCCAGTGGTTAGCGCATCGACCTCACAGTGCAGAGGTACCGGGTTCAATTCCAGCTCCGGCCTCCCCGTGTGGAGTTTGCATGTTCTACCCGGGCCAGCATGGGTTTTCTCCGGTTTCCTCCCACTTTCCAAAAACATGCATAACAGGCTGATTGAACACTCTAAATTGTCCCTAGGTGTGAGTGTGGGCGTAGATGGTTGTTCGTCTCTGTGTGCCCTGCGATTGGCTGGCAACCGGTGCAGGGTGTCCCCCGCTTACTGCCCGATGACGGCTGGGATCGGCTCCAGCACCCCCCGCGACCCTTGTGAGGATTAAGCGGATCAGAAAATGGATGGATGGATATTAACACTGGTATATGTTTATTTAAGGCGACTGTGTCTGAAGCATGGACCAGCAGGTCGTGCAAATGCGACTGTGAAGAAGGTGTGTCACCAACTGAGTTCTCCTCCTTTGGCTCCTCTTCAGTGAGGGGAGTGGACTGCATGCCAGGTAAGACCCAGTGTCATCACCACATAAACATTTTATCCAATAGACATTTAAAAAAAAATCCGCTCTGAAAAAAGATTGGCATTCACTTTCAAATAGAATACTCTCTGGTATCATGCATTGCGGAGATACTGTGTGCAAGGGTGGAAAAGTGATTGAAGAAGATGTCTATTTATACCCACATGCATGCATGAATGCATCACACTGCAGGGTGAACGTGTTCCTCTAGAGAGGAAAGGTGGAGCCATCAGCAAGGAGGATCTCCACACCGAGGTCGTGCAAGCTTCTGCACTAATCTAAATATGTAATCCAAGCAAGAAAAAAAAAGGCATTAAGCTTCCGTGATATTTGTGCAATTAGGGTTTGAGTCGGAAGTATGATGTTATTGACATTAATGATTTCACTGGGCGATGAAACAATAAGAGTTGCTTTCAGAGGAGAGGGAGAGACAATCAGCTGATATTCATGAAATGTTTTAAAGTGTTCTTCCTTATTAGTTGGAATTTCTATCATTGATTAAAAAAAAAAGTCTAAACATTTTTGAATTTACATTCAAACTTAGATGGCACAAAACACGACAAGTATTCTTATATCTATGCCACCTTAACTAGATTTTCAGTTTATTATTTATTGATTTATTTGTTGTTTTTGGTGACTGTGTTCTGTTTCAGAATTTCATGTTTAATAGTAACAGAACACCTTTCCTTTCACATACATTTTATAAACTTTATGATAAGATAACATGAATAGAACATATTTGTAATTAGATTGCATACACTTATACATTACATATATATATACATGTACTGAATACCATTTTTTTAAACCACCCAAGACATCTATTTTAGATCTTGTGGTATTTTTGTGGCATCTGAGTTTTAATTTGAAATTAATATGTCGATTATTTACACAGTTTATGCAGTATTGACAAATGATTAATCTATCTATTTTAAATAATCTATTATTATTATTATTTTTTTTTTAACCATTAAAAAAAGTTTTCAAACTCAGGCGCCCCACTTAAACTTGCATTAATTCTGAGTGACAAAGCAAAAAATGGATGTAATACGTCTTGTGTGATGATGAACAAAGTGTGAAGGCAAACTTTTTCATTTGTTGCCATGAACATGTCCTCATATGTTGCCACATTGCATCCAAGTCTCAGGCTTTACTGTTCTAAACATTTACTTCCAGCAGATTGCCACGCACAGAGCTTTTGCTCAGTGCGATGTAATGCTGGGATTAGACTGGATGTTCCCCAGTGCCTGATCACAAAGTGCAGCATGTTGCAACACGCTTCTTTTCCAAGGGACAACAACCATCTTGGTGGAAATGTCTTTCTTGTCTCATCTTTTTTTTTTCACTCAAAATGAGGATTCACATCAGGACTTGTTATTTTTAGTCGTGGACATAAGGGCGCAGACTGACCACCAGCTTCAGAGGGTTCAACATGGCCATCTGTCCAACCCCTCCACTAATGGCCCTGACTGATCGCTGGCAGTGGAGAATTAAAAATGGGTGCTTTTAGGATCTTCACTGTTGGGCTGCTTATCACTCAGGCACATTATAGGACATTTGTGTCAGCCCTTATCCTTATATGAACCGTTTTGCAAGTGGAAACATCATGGAGATACCCTGTGGTGACTATGGAGAACAATTGCATTTTAATGATTATTTTAATAAAGACGTGGAAGCTCCCTCTGATGGCTGTTGAAAGACTGGACTATTAGAGAGAAAACAAAGCTATATAAAAAGGACATATTTTAGGCTGTTTTCCAACCTGTGTATCATGCAAAAAAAAAAAAAGTATTCGAAGGGTTAGAAACAAATTGTAAACGATGGGATATTTTCATATTAATGTTAGTTAAGTATGTTATGGTAAAATTGATGGTGACTTCACAATTTAGAAGGGGGTTTCACACTTTTTGTTGCTCTGATGGTTTTCACCGAGGAAAACATGAGAAACCAATGCAACGCCTAATGAAGTTCAAAGTCATGGAACTGGAAGTGTTGGAGGAAGAGGCAACCAAATAGTACTGTATATTCGGCCTTGTGCACACAAAATAATTTTTCTCAGCTTAGAAGTTTGTTTACCTGAGACGCCGCACATGAAGATTCAAATAAATAAATAACTAAATAAATCTGGCGTTTACCATTTTGGTCGTACCGTGCGGTGTTTTCAGTTGTTCTCAACACAGAACACACACATGAAGCTTCCGTTCCATCTCCAAACAAGTCCTCAGAGACCAAAATCTTATGCATGCTATGCCAGCATTTCCCAAGTATTTCCTTCTTCTTGCAGAGTGTCCATACCATAAGCCTCTTGGCTTTGAGGCTGGATCAGTGAGTCCGGACCAGATCACCTGCTCCAATCAGGACCAGTATAGCGGATGGTTCTCCTCTTGGCTCCCAAACAAGGCTCGCCTCAACAGTCAAGGATTTGGGTAGGCAACCTGCAAACCTGTGATAGAATGAATAAAGGAGGAAAATGACAAAGGCTTCGGTTATGTTTTCATGAATCACTTACCAGCATGTTTGTGCTCTAGCTGTGCATGGCTCTCCAAGTTCCAAGACAGCAGCCAATGGCTGCAGATCGACCTGAGGGATGTTATGGTGGTCTCGGGAATCCTCACTCAAGGTCGCTGTGATGCCGACGAGTGGGTGACCAAATACAGTGTGCAGTACCGCACGGACGAAAAACTCAACTGGATCTTTTACAAGGACCAGACTGGGAATAACAGGGTCAGTTGGAAAAATACAATCATTAGCCACTTAGTTAGGTGTCCAAAAATCAACCTTTATGGACATAGGAATGGTCAGTTTTGGTTGAGAGATCTACCAATTAAACACGTCTATTACTGAGTTTGGAGAAACTTTAGTCAAGTGGCTCTGTATTTTTTTTTGTTGCACCCCGTGTAAATTCACTCTTGTCTTAGTTTCCTTAAATAACTCAAAATCCAGCTAAAATTTCTATGCCACTGGCAACAAAAGTGAATACATCCCTAAATGAAAATGTCCAAATTGTTAAACTGTGTAAGTATTTATAGTGTTATATATTTACAAGGGTGGCACAGTGGGCGAATGGTTAGCTCGCCACCCTCACAGTGCAGAGGTGCAGGGTTCGATTCCAGCTCCGGCTGGCCTTCCTGTGTGGAGTTTGCATGTTCTCCCCATACCGGCGTGGGTTTTTTCCGGGTACTCTGGTTTTCTCCCACATTCCAAAAACATGCATGGCAGGTCAACGGAACACTCTAACTTGTCTCTAGGTGTGAGCGTGAATGGCTGTTCGTCTATGTGTCTCCGCGATTGGTCGGCAACCAGTTCAAGGTGTCCCCCCCCTACTGCCCGATGACAGCTAGGATAGAATCCAGCACGCCCGCAACCTTTGTGAGGATAAATGGATTAGATAATGGTTGGATGGATGGATGGATATATTTCCAAAAAACATGAGTCATGATCTCACTTTTGAGAGATATTTTACTTCACTTTTTTCAATGCCCCAACCCACAACTTTTAGGGGCTTTCGTTTGGTCGATTAATTTTTTTTTTTGTTATGGTGCTTCTGATAGTCCAACACCCAAGTTGAGTGGAAAAAAAATGCTGCTGATGCACTGTCAGTCATTTATTAAATGAGCCAACATTCAGACACATGAATGCAAAATGAAAACAGTCACATGAAGCAGAGGCTAACATTGACCTAACTGCATGCAAAACAGCCAACCACTTACAAGAACTAGTTCAATGAAAAGTTTTGTATTAAATGTTTGCTCTTACAATGACGCGGTTACAAGTGATAGTTGTCAGACACAACTTTTTCTGATGCTTCTCTCAACTCTCCTCAGGTGTTTTACGGGAACTCCGACCGCTCCTCGTCAGTGCAGAACCTCCTGCGGCCGCCCATTGTGGCGCGCTACATCCGCATCCTCCCCTTGGGCTGGCACACACGCATCGCTCTGCGTCTGGAGCTGCTGCTCTGCATGAACAAATGTGCCTGAGCCTCGAATCCTGTTCTCCTCGAGGCCTTCACCTCCGACCTCCTCTGTCCAAACACTCTAAATGTATGTGTAAACCTTGATTATTTTTGAATCCTTCCATTACAGTTGTATGAGGGTCATTCCAGGATTGGAGAACAATTTAGGCACTGATATCGTGAAACGACAGACAATTGATTTATTCTTTTTTTTTTTTTTTAAACAGGTAATAAACCTCCATATAATTTGATTCATCCAGCTCAACTCTCAAAAGTAAGCTTTAAGATCAATGTGTCAAACTCAAGGCCCGGGGGCCAGATCTGGCCCACCACATCCCTTTATGTGGTCCGTGAAAGCAAATCATCTGTGTCAACTTGCATGACACTTGCCAAAATCTGTACTGAATTGTCAAATTGTCATATGTAAAAAACAACGTTGAGATTTTGCAATAATTTTGTTCCCCTCTTTACAGTCAATTGAACAATAATTGAAAAGACTATTATAGTTTACTTGATTAATTCGAAAACTAGTAATCCATCAATTTGTTGTATACTCTCGTAATGGCCCTCTGCCATATTTTGTTGTTCGGCACAACCCCGTTACAGTTACTATTAGGGCTCAAAATAAGTGGTTGAGCATCGCACTTTGGGAATCAAAATTATAATTTTATGCCTCCATAAACGCATTGAATTGCAAAAGTGATGTTGTCTCTGCTGAGTCTTGGTCCTTCCTTCTTTTTCTCTCTTCCTCTTGATGGTGAAAAACGTTTGAGGAACAGGGGTGCGTCTTGAGAGAAAAAATACTTACGAGCATAATAACAACTATTCAAACGGTGAAATTGTTTTGACAATTACAAAGAAAAAAAAAAGACCAAAAAGCTGATTCAAGACATATTTTATCTGTATGTGTTTGATTTGTAAATTATTTGTTGTTCTTTTTATGATATTATCCAATTCTAAAATGTCCTTCAATTCTGGAATGAGCGGATGCAAATATTTTTTCAAAAGGTTTATTTAGACTTTATTGAATACAATGTGGCGGCCCGGTGGTCCAGTGGTTAGCGCGTCAACCTCACAGTGCAGAGGCACCGGATTAAATTCCAGCTCCGGCCTCCATGTGTGGAGTTTGCATGTTCTCCCCGGGCCTGCGTGGGTTTTCTCCGGGTACTCCGGTTTCCTCCCACGTTCCAAAAAACATGCATGGTGGGTTGATTGTACACTCCAAATTGTCCCTAGGTGTGAGTGTGAGTGCAGATGGCTGTTCGTCTCTGTGTGCCCTGCGATTGGCTGGCGACCAGTTCAGGGTGTCCCCCGCCTACTGCCCAAAGACGGCTGGGATAGGCTCCAGCACCCCCCGCGATCCTTGTGAGGATTAAGCGGGTCAGAAAATGGATGGATGGATGGATGAATCCAATGTTTGATATGCAAATGAACTCTGAATTGTATTTGTTTAAAGCAGTCTCACACTGGCTGAATTAATTTTCCTTCGTCGCAAATTGTTACATTCACACTGAACTGGCATCGAATCAAAGGAGTAATTAATCGTGGCATTTTGCTATGGAGGAAATCTGCACAGATGTGCAAACAAACCAATCTTGCACACGCCTCTCATGTGTGACAACTCACTGAAACGCTCGCTGCCTTCTTTTGACACGAGGTGGTCAGCAGGGAATTTTACAGCTCTCACTAAGCCTCTCCTTACGAGCCTCTAAGGAAAAGGAAGGTGATAACTTGACTATAATCTTCTGTCGGTCATGGAAAGAAACCCCCCTTGGATTGTTTTCCTATATGCCGTGACAATCCCATAGTTTTGTTACGATAAATGTTCCTAATGCAGATTCTGTGTTTCACGATTCCATTTCCTATCTGAACGTATCCTGTCTTTCTGTTTGGATTTGATTTTAATTTAATTTACACTGGATTTTTTTTTTCAACGTCACATTTTGAACGCTGATTACATTTTTGATCATCAAAATAATGATTAAAAATAGGAGTAAAAATAAATATCAACATTTCTATAAATAAATAAATAAATTGGGTGATATACTGTATATCTTGTGGTTGTTTTGGTTGTTTTTCACATCTGTGAAAAAAAATCAGGTGGTACAAATATCTTGTATTTTGGTGCTATGTATTTTGAATTGGAATTTGTTGAAATTTCTGATGATGATTTTTTTTCATGTCAAAATAATTCTGTTAGAAATGTGATGGTTAAAAAAGAAAAGAAATCCAAGTTGAAATGTTGACGCCAATTGTAGCATCCTCCCAAACGACTTATATTTATTTCTTCTTGATTGTTGAATTTGAATGCAAAAAAACTCGACAATACCCTATGTGTTGGTTAAACGCTCAGTTCAGATTACATGTCTTGTAGCATTGCCCCACCATGGATTTTGTGATTGATATTAAAGATATCCTCAAAGAATCTCTCTTAATGTCATTGACTCGTTGTTATATTTATCCAGTGAACTCTCTGTATTGGGACCAAGCTCTGCTGCCCATAGCAGAAATCTATGTGTAATCCCCCAAAAGGTTGAGCGTACTGTAATTGCCAAAGGATGAGTTTTATTCCTCAACTCACTTCAGCAGTTCCTTGGTACGAAGATCCCACCAGATGCAAAGCAATATTGTTAGGATGGGCAGGGAATTTCATGTTACAATGCTATATTAGGATACAAACTGAAAGGGACAAAACGGCCAGGATGACCCATTTTTCACTTAAAACTCTCTTTGTGTAGTTTGATCAGGAAAATGATACTACATTGCATTTTCAATTTTATCCATTGGTTTTGGAGAAACTAACTAGTCTTGAAACACTTCTTATTCCTCTGTAATATGGAAATGGGGCAGCATAGCTCATGGTAGCGTGGCCCTCTTTCAACCCAGAGGTTGCGGGTTGGATCCCCGGCCACTGTAACCATGTCGGCGTGTCCTTCAGCAGGTTGCTGAAACCCCTGGTGCTACGTTATCAGTAGGTAAGTGAGGTATCATTTTTCATAGAGGAGGAAGAATATACAGCGTGCCTGTGAGAGTATTGTTTTGTTATCAATCTATACGTGTTTAAATTCGACTATTGGTGCTAACCGTGAAGTATGCGAATGGTGTTTGTCATTATGTCTTAAGGCAACACTGCTTGGTTCTTTTAAAAACTCATTGTGTAATCTCTTTGTTTTACGTTTGGTTTGATATTACACTTATATTTGGGAGTGTCAAACAGCTGAAATCTATTTTGAATGACTTGTTTGCTATTTGCTAAGCCGCCGCTTATTGCAAAGTGAGTTGAATTCAGCTCACTGCCACCATAGAGTCTCAAGTTACATATCTATTTCACCATGAAATTTAGGTCATATCTCAAAGCACACTGTATTTTCTTTTTACTCTGGATGCCCCAATTACCAAGATCATGTTTTTTTTCTCTCAGTCAGACCAAACAAATGTGGACACAATTAAAAAAAAAAGATTTTTATTATGATATCATTTTAGTGTAGACTGGTCGGTGTTAGATACACTCTATTACTTCTATTTACACCTTGTAAGAAGAGGGCATCTGTGTACAGAAAACAATGAAGTGCTGCTCTTGGAAACACATTCATAGTCGAGAGCAGAAAGAATCAATGAAGGTATGTGAAGTGTTTGGGGGTTGAAGCCTCTGATTTCATGTCAGTAATGAGCGAATGTAAGGCTTCAGGTCACAGGCAAGGCAAACTATGTCAACACTGTTTCTAGTGAAGATGTAAACAAATCAAATACAATCATTGTTTTCCATAACCACAAGATGAGGCAGCTCAAGGAAAATTACGAAGATATTCAATGCACACCCGAAAAAAACGGTCTCCCTCTTGACTGATATTAGGCTCCAATTACACTTATTTAACAAGTGATGACATCAATCAATCAGTTCTGTCAGTCAGTCAATTAATGTTATTGCTTTAAATCATCCAAGTAGCTTAATATAGTAGTTTATTTAGCCTTTTGCTTTGTTTCAATTTTTTTTTTTTTTTGGACAAATCAGTCTATCTACCATGGAGACAAAAAGCCTACACACCCCTGTCCAAATGTCAGGTGTTTAGAACTTTTAAAAAAATGAGGCCAAGATAAATCATTTCAAAAACTTTTTTTTTTCACGATTAAATGACCTATAGCCTACACAACTAAATTGACAATAAAAAAAAATCTTGGGGGCGGGGGGGAATCTATAATTTAAATCACGAAAACCTGACATTTAACAGTAGTGTGTATTCTTTTTCTATCTATCTATCTATCTATCTATCTGGCTAGCTAGCTAGCTAGCTAGCCAGCTATCTATCTAAATATTCATTAAAAATATGAATTACCCCTGATTATGACAGTTCAAAACAATTCTTAAGCCATAAATAAGTATCAATTAATTGAAAATAAACACTCATTTTAAAAAAATTAATGTGTCTGTTGCGTTGTAGTCAGCAGACAAAGACAGAACTGTCACCAACATGCGGTTGCTAGTATTAGCGACTAGCTGTTCACTGGAAGTTTGAGTGAGACTGGGATGCAATAATTATTGTTTGAAGCCTTTCCATGGGGTTTTATGACACACACTATCATCACATTATTTCTAGAAGATCTTAAAAGTGGCAAATGACTCGTGTTAAGATTCCACGTTTTTTATCTTCATTCCAAGATGCTCACTTTTCACAATAACAATTTCTTGATACCAAAAAAATCAAAGGTAGCAGCAAGGAAGAGGAGAGCTGTTGACAAACAGCCTCAAAATGCTTTTAACTGCTGGACACGTATATTCTTGAACGACACCTGTAATACGACATATTTTTGCTCCCATGTAGGGTAATCATCGTTTCTCGGAAAGAAACGGAAAAGTGAAAAAAAATATGAAAATCTGTTTATACCATATTAAACTGAACAAAAAAGGACATTCACCATTACATAATCTTTGTGACATATTGTATTGTCAACACATACATATCTATTCATCTCTGTGTCAAAGTAAAGCTCTTATAATTACACATTTAACACTGTATATCCTTTTAACAATCCCATATATCTTATTAGAGATATAACTATAGCTTATATCTTCGTATGTGAAACAAATAACAATAAACTTTCTTCATATAAATCTTTTTCTCTCTCTCTATTTTATCAAATATTTGAAAAAACATTTGCTTTAGTGACCACCAGGAGGAGCAAATGTGCTGCAGTAGAGTTCCGTGACGGGGAGGTGGGAGCAGAGGAAGTTTCTACTCCTCCAGGCAGAATAATAATCCTGAAAGGGTGAGACCAATGGAAAAAAAAAACTTTCGGCATTTAGTCCAATGTCTTCATATCCAGTTTACGGTTCATGTCCTTCTGTGCTCTTTGTCCTCACTACCAAACAATTCAGCGTGCTAGCAGAATGACTGTGTCTTACTAGTTAATTAGTTCCATTATGAGTGCCACTTTTGGCAAGTATGCTATATATCAAACCCTTCTATTAAACTCCTGTGCTTCAAAAGTCGCACATCTTGTACCAATTAGGAGGCATGTGTCACACACGAGAAGCCATTTGGACCCCAGTGGCATTGATGTCGGTAGTGGAAGGCAGTAGTACCAAAACAATGACTAGTAATAGTAATACACAGTCATTCTACTAGTGCGCCCTAGTTGCGCGAAACTGAATTATCTGACTAATAAGGACAAAGAACATACTAATACATGGACTTTAAGATAGATAACAAGGATATTGACCAAATACAGTAAATGCTCAAATGGGGTTTCATTCAATTCAGCGCTCTGGGACACAGGTGTCAAACTCCGGTCCTCGAAGGCTTCTCTCCTGCATCTACCGGTATTAGATGTTTACCTCCCCCACTACACTTGATTCAAAGGCTCAGGATTGTTATCAGGTTCCTGCAGAGCTTGATCAGCTGATCATTTGACTCAGGTATGTGGGAGGAGGGAAAGATCTAAAACATGCAGGATATTGGCCCTCGAGGACCAGAGTTTGACACCTCTGCTGTAGTAGAACCAGTAGGGCGCATTAGTAGAATGACTGTTTCTCCTAGTAAAGTTTTACCCACCACTATTGTCTTGCGCCACTGTATGAGATTTCTACATACCAGACAACCACATGTTATTAGTAAGGCAACACTACTAATGGGTATTTTGGTGCGACTAATAGGGTATAGGAGGCTACATGTGACACATGCCTACTAGGGAGAAGCGTTACTAGTGCAGCACATTTTTTTAGTAGTATGATTTCATTGCATACCAGTAGGCCAAACATGGCATGAGTTGTGGAAAAAGACAACCCTTCTACTAATGTGCTGAATTATCTTACTAGTGAGGACAAAGAGAAGACTACTACTATATCGACCCTAAACTAGACCCTAGAACTGGACCCTAAGCTGGATATCAAGAATTTGGAATAAATACTCAAAGGGCTTTCCATGGGGCCGGCCCCCTTGCAAGAGCTTGTTTGTGGCATTGTCCCAGCTCATCACGCCGAATGAGTGCAAGACTCTTTCACGTAAACTGTAACTAAAGTCAGACGGCGTCCTCTTCGATCCGGCTGGTGCGTCCACAATGAGCCGTAGCAGAGGTGGTACGGTTTGAGGTGGGTGTTTAGAGCGCAGTCTCCTTCAGGTCATTGAGGTTTGGCATTCTGGTGCGGGAGGCACGGGTAAAGGTGGGTCCGTTCGGTCCCGGTTTGATGCCCAGCTGTTCGGCCGTGAACTGCGCGCCTTCGGCCCGCTGCAGCGCCGACACATGCCAGGCGGACTCAAGCTGGCCCGGCAGCGGGTAGCTGGCCTTGCGGCTCTTGGCCTGGGATGAGCCACCTGCCCCGGAGTGGCCCCGGCTCTCTGTGTGCCCCCGGCTTTCGGTGTAGGCCGCTTTGGAGGAGGTCTGAGGAGGGTTGGGGAGAGGGGGCTGGAAGCGCAGGTCTGCGGGAGGAGGAGGAGGAGGCTGGCCTTGGTTTGGAGAAGGGGAGAGGTGAAGGAGCCTGCGAAGGGACTTCAGTGGTTGGCTCTGCAAGTGAAAGAGACATGAAGGAAAGTCAGTAGAAAATAAACACTCAAGTAAAATAAGGATAACCGACAAAATCTACAGAACTACAGGAACAACATTTTTTGTACTTACACTAAGTCACTTGGCACCACAAACTCTGATGGACACCTAACTTAATTAATTAGGCTTCCATCAAGTAACTAATAAATACGGTAGTTACGTTTCTTTCAAGGGATACAGAAAGCAAGAAAGTATTTGTACTTTTTTTTCCCCATCACTGACTGTAACACTTGATGGAAACCCAAGTACTATTAGAATTAATTACATAAAACATACACACTACTCACAAAAAGTTAGGGATATTTGGCTTTCAGGTGAAATGTACGGAAAATGTAAAAAGTTCACACTAACATCATATCATGAAAATCGGATATTTAAGTCGAAGGACGCACTGGTGATCTCCTCAACTCAACAATTCATTGAATCAAAACTTAACAACAATGGCGGGTACACCACAACAAAAAAATTCAAGATCTCAATAACTCGTCATGTGCCCTTGAGCGTCAATTACAGCTCGACGACAACGTCTCATGCTGTTCACAAGTCCACTTGTTTCTTCCCACCATTACTAGCCTGGTTTCAAACAGATATCTTTTTTTCAAATTTAGAGAGTAAAAGTAAAAATTAGTCCAACAAATACATACCCTCGTAAAATACATATGACAGAATAGAGTACCTAAGCACAGTACTTCCGATCTCTGACAGTACCACGAACCCTTGGGTGTCCATCAAGTGGTACAGTCAGTTGTGGCAATTAAAAATGTACAACTTCTTTGTTACTGTATTTACAAAAAAAATACTTTTGATACTTCTGTATTTATTCATGGTCAGATACTATGTTTCTAAATTTGATTCTACAAGTTGACTTCAACTTCGACCAACATTATTTTCTGGACAAACACTTTCTTCAAGTTCAATATTGCTTTCAGGTACTTTATTGCTTTCAGGTACTTTATACAAAATTGGTCTCAGCCAAGGCAGAGCCCACTCATATGCTTGAGAGAAAATAGAAAGCATGTACCTGAGAATGTGAGTCCATTGCCTTTTCTGTCGGCCATTCATTCACTCTCTCTCTTCCTCTTTCTCGTTCTCTGTCTCTGTCTCGTTCCCGGTCTCGGCTCTGCTCTCGTTCGCGGTCTCTGTCTCGGGAACGCTCTCGGTTTTTCCGACGGCTTCCGTGGTGTGAGGATGACTTGGCGCCCCTCTGCAGGGACATATGCTCTTGTGCAGTCCCAGGTCCCTTACAGCAACAATAGATGAGGTAAGCCTCACTTCACAAATCACTGATTCGTGCTTCCTTGTGGTAGCACCAAACAAAACACTAAGGGGGGAGAAGATGAAGGGACATGAAAAATACAGAAATACTTGCTATCCAGCTTTTGGTCCATGTCCTCTTTGTGGTAATTCTGTGCTGAATTGTGTTCTGGTTAATGACCAATCACAACTCAGCTTGCAAACATCACATGACCAAACTCAGGAAACAGGTGAACGTCATCGGTCGTTACCTGAACCGTGAGTTACTGTGATGTCATTTTCAGTCAACAGCTAGTGGCAAAATGGCCGCCTGCTGAGAAGGATAAAAATGGGTTGATTTTTCTGCCTGATTCGTATTCCACAAACACAATAATAATCAGAATACCCTTTAAGCTGGATATCAAGGATGTCATATAAATGCTTGAAAATCTTTCCATAGTGGACGTCTTGTTTTGAACCCGTAAAAATCCCTGTGCGGCTCTGGCCTGAGCATTGTCACGCAGACGCAGTCATGTCTTCGTGTTGCGTTAAGCTCACTGTTGTGGCAGGATATGGCGGCGGAGGAGGCTGCTGTTGTAGCATCGGCGAGGGCACCACAGGAAGGACTTTGACAGCTGAGTTGTGCTTTAGGCTGTTCTTGGAGCTGAAGAGCGGGAAGAGGCTTTTCCTGATACTAGGGTTCCTCCCGTCCGCCATGTCCGTCTGTGAAAAGGTAAATGCATCACTGTCAGTTTCAGCATCTCCACATGACCAATTAACAAGGTCCGGAGTCATAGTTCTCCAATTGGTGGTGGAATACAAACTGCAAAAAAAAAAATTAAATCAGCTAGATGCAACAATGGTATACCAAATAAAACGTCATTTATCCAATATACCTCATAAGGTACTAGTACACTCTTTGACTTCATTACTAAGCCAACTCACTGCACTAGTATGCCAAAGTTGTCCTACTTGTGGGCAGAAATATCATGCAGTTGTGGTTACTTGTTTTAAAAGTGTGCCTTGGTTATTGTACTACAGTTGTGTGCTGTCTTACTCGTGATGACAAAGAGCTTACTACCACTTAGACCTTCAGTTGCATAATAAGGATATTGAAAAAAAAAGGCTTAAGTGCCTGTGAAAAAATAGAGACATTTTAATTAAAAAAAAAATCAAAAACTACAGAAAAAAAATATTCACAAAAATCTTGAATATTGCATATGTAACATGTAAAATGTACAAAAAAAGTGAAGGGGGTTAAACACTTCTTAAAGTCACTGTTGATACACTGCGAGCGAAATGGAGGGTTCTGTTCATAATCAGACAAAGCTAAAGCCGTTTGAAATGAATCATTTTCAGATGTATTCCATTGACTTTTGCCCATTTTCAGTCTGTTTTGTGTTTTTTGCCTCAGCGGACATCATGGTAATCATTTACCCCAATTGTCATCAAATAAATGGATCAATTGCGGCAAAGCGTTCTTACTATTTGCGTCTTCTTCTTTTTCTTTTTGATGGCTCTGAAGAAGCCTTGTTTTTCTTTCTCTTTGGTGGGCTCTGGAGGATTCATCACCATTGCTTCAGCAGCACTCCTGAAAATGGAAAACATAATCACCAACCATATTTGTAATGTGATAAATGAGTTCACTGAGTGAAGAGTGAAGGAAAAAAAACCCCACTAAAATCACAGCAATATTACTCTCAGAGAAATTGACTTGATTGAGTTATTTATTTTATAATCCCATCTGGTATGATGCGGCATCATTGTTTTTATAGTGCCAGAGGATTTTCATTAAGCGCTTGTATTGGGGTACCGAATGGGGCCAGGTAAGGTTGCAATATTTTCAATGCAAGTGAGGCCACTGTTCACTTGAAAATCCTTCCAGTTCTCTTAAAGGACGATTCTCACCACTCAAAGGCAGTCTGGCGTTTGGAGTGGTTAGCCATGGTAACGGGGTTGCCAGGAACAACGGGTACGACCGGTCCTCGACCCTGCCCAACACCCTCATGGAAAGATGAGGAGTTATCTGGTCTGGGCGATGGTACTGGACAGAAGCGAGATAAGACTTTTCGCAAAAGCATAAATCATCTTTAAGCTTATCCAGGTCGCCTAAATAAATCATTTTAAGTCTACCAAAAATACAGGTGATTACCTCGGTAAAAGCTACCAACTCTCCGAGGCATGGACTCAGTGAAAATCATCCGGTTTTCCTTGGAGGACACTCCATCCTCTCCATGAGGGTCGTGATACATACCGACCTGTAAGTCATGCAAATGGGCACAGTCTCACTTTTGTTGTCGCACAAGACACTGAGACAAGCATAAAAAGCTTCTTAGTGAAGTTACATTGATCACAGCAATAAAGTGTAAGGGGGCGTGTGACCAGTGCGGAACAAACCAGCTGTCTTAGATGGAAGTCAAACCTCATTTTTAGGCGGTCGCTGGGTATGAAAAGCAGCAGTGTTGTCCCTCGTTGAATCTTTGATGGGGGCGCAAGGGTGGCTCATGTCTTTCGGGGACTGCTCGCTCTGTTGGAGGGATATGCAGGTCAAAGCAGATTTATGGAAAGTTGTTTGAGCGTTGATTCCATATCATTACTATCCAGTTTAATGCAACGTTAACACCAGGTAGCCCCCGGACCACATAAGTAGTCTGCGGGCTTGTTCTACAAATAGCTCACAGATGAATATATTCACAGAAACACAGTGTTACTTATTGGTATTGATCTGTTCCACACCATATTAAAAATCATTGTGATAGCACACACAGCGCCAGCACTCACCCTGCTCATGCCATCCGTGCAGTCTTCCCTGGAGGAGCTCACTGAGTGCCCAGCGAGTGCGGTCCGGTGCTGAAGTTGCGGGGAGAGAAGCTGCAGACTAGAAGCTCGCGTTGGAATCGCCTGGCCCGGCGGGGGCAAGCCCGCCATCCCGGATTCTACGGCATGAGGTCGGTGGCGCTCTCTCCTCACGTACATGGAGTGCCGTTGAGGCCGTTGCTGAGAGGAGAAGGGGGACGAATAACCCAAGCCATAATGGTACGAGTCGTGTGGGGAGGGCAGCGTGTGAGTGGAGGGCATCCCTGCGCCCCCTGGGTCTAAGAGCTCTGGAGCCTTGGCCTCCTCTGTGGATGAGAGGGAAGATTTATGGCACGTTTTCAATGAGCTACCATCTATCTATCAAATTTCTACAGGCTCGCAGAGAGTCGGAATCTAGCCAGAACATATCGACAAACATTCACACGGTCTCTCAGTATCTCAGTGCACGCTTCCCTCTGAGAACATCCTGTTTGAGGGCAATATCATTTCTAATTGGATGAAGAAATATATTGGTCCATGAAAGGATCAAATTTCTCTTCTCAGAGGGAAGTGGCCACTGAGCATTACTGTATTGCCCCGAATATAAGACGGCCCTGATTATCAGACAACCCCCTCTTTTTCAAGACTCAAGTTTGAAAAAAGACTTTTTGAACACCAAATTAATTTTTATACAGAAAATAATTACAGTACATCTGAAACAAATGATTATAACAATATATTTGAGAGAAAAAGCATGTTATTTTGCCTCATTCAAAGCTAAAGTGCAATCACATTCGTAAATGAATGGCTTCTAGTTTTTGAAATGTAAATTACGTCATAACTTCTCCTCAGCTGCCGGTTCACCTGGCCGATCTTCGACCCACTTTTCTCCAGATTGGCACTACGTTTCTCCATTTTCTGTTATCTCTTCTATTATTTTCGTCTCTTTTCCTTCTTACCGCTATTTTTTATTTTTCTTCTTCGTGCTACCGCTATTTTTATTTTTATTCTTCGTGGCAGGGGTTCACTTTGGCCAAGTGAGTCAAGTTCAGCATTCGCTTCAATGATATCTGGCACCATCTAGCGTCGTGAATGTGTATAATGTCTAGACCCCGAATATAAGACGACCCCCACTTTTTCAGTCTTATTTCAATGCAAAAAACATGGTCTTATATACGGGCCAATATGGTAAGTAACACAGAGTGTCATCAGCAGGTTGCAACAGAAAGACTGGACCAATCAAAGAGGGGCATAGAAGTAGAAACGCATTCATGGATTAAACACCTGTTGCAAATTTTTGCCATTCAGCTCCTTGTCCAGTTGCAGTGAAAATATTACAGAAGGTCCAATTAGTGTAAATATTCAACCTACCGGGAACCAAAGATTTCTGTCTGGACTTGTGCCTGGAGGAGGAGTCGAGTGTGCTGCTCTCCATGCGGACGTTGCTGCTGCTACGGGATGCGGGGCTGTGCCCTGAGCGATCACTGTGTCGTGCTGAGGGGCTGCCTGGTGGCCCCGGGGCCCCCGAAGGGGCATTGAGGTCCAGACAGCTGGCAGGGAAGAAACGGGTACCGGGTCCCACTGCCGCTGTCGTGTTGGAGTTTAGGTCGTCAGGGTGGAGTCGACCGTCGCTGAGGTTCCCTACGGATTTGGCATCGCTTAGAGCGCTGTGGCTCTTGGACAGGCTGAGATAAGAGGCGGAGCTTTTGGACGAAGACGACATGGATCCGTGGGCTGAGTCGGCCACACTGTGGGTGTGTCTGCCGTGTTGTTTGTCTCCTCCTGACTGTAACGTGTTGGTCTTGCTTTCCAGGAAGGTGTGGCGTCCACCTTGCTGTTGTTGCTGCTGCTGAGTGCGAGAGGAACCGCTGGGCTTGCCGAGGCCATACTTCGCACTGTGTCCTTGCTCTGGCAACTTGGGCGAGGGTCCCACATTGAAATCAAATTCGGATTTGTTTTTGACTTCTTTAGGACTGAGGAGGTGCGGCAGGTTGTTATTAGCCAGATCTTTGCTGGACGAGGCAGAGCGATTGAGGGTCTGGGAGAGGTACTGACTCTTGGGGTGAAGTGTCGGGCTTAAACTCGACGGGGGTTTGTTACCATTCAGGAAACTCTCGTTGCCAAGGTGATGGAGGTCACCATGACGTGGGAGACTTGAACATTCTTTGCTGTTGGAGCGGCGCTGGCTTGAGCTCTTGGTGTGACTCCTATGGTGGCATTTTCAAATTCAGTGTGATTGTTCTATATCTGGCCACTTGGGGGCGGCACAATGAGCTGAACGTGGACTACGGCATCTAACAGTGGACCCTTTTTGTGCGTGTATTAAGTGTATGTGTATGTCTGTGCGTGCGTGCGTGTGTGTGTGTGTGTGTGTGTGTGTGTGTGTGTGTGTGTGTGTGTATTTACCACTCCCTTACACTTTAAACACGTTTAAATGCATTAAAACACACTTAAAATAATTAAAACAAGCTTTTTTTGTGTATTACTTATCAGATGCTCTCACTCTCGCTGTCAAGAAATGGGAGACTAAAAATGCACTTTGAGGAACATTAAAGAGCAGTTAAGTTGATTTGTCCAGCCCAGTTAAGTTTGTTGTAACACAAACACAAAACAAAAGATCATTAAGTATTTTATACTTAAACACCAAAATGTTTAACAAAACTATGTAATATCTTCTGATGAAAACCGACTAGCGTTAGTTTAATATATAATCCTAAATGCCAGAGATGGGCTATCAGAAATTAGTGTAGATGTTATGATTAGATTACAAAAACCCTTCAATATCTGAAACGTCAACACACATGCAAAGCACAACAGGAGCATCGTAGTAAAGGCATATCTTCTCTTTGAAAAAATAAAAATCTTTGAAATAGAGGTGGAGCGAACAAGCAATGATGACATAATGGAGCAGCACTGCATACTGTATAACAGACTCGAGTCATGCAAATTTGGATACGTAGCTATAAGCAGCATGAGAAGGACATCAAGGCAGTCTGATTGGATGTTAAGTCAGTGAAAGATACTTTGGCGATGTTATGACATCGTAATTACCGGTAAAAAAAAAAAAAAAATCATCATTAAAATATAAATCATCATGACAGATTAGTAAGATAAATATCCATTATTATTTCTTGATATGATAATAGATCAATAGGTGAAGTGTAATTATAAGAGCTGTTTACTGGACCTTGTTGGGACTGTGTTCTCTCCATGATGGTGTGTTTTCCTCTTGGAAGAACGTGGAGGGTTGGGCGAGGCGGGTGAAGGCCTCTCTCTCTCCACCTGCCTCAGAGGCTGGAAGGCTGGATGATTCAGACTCTGCTCAGTAAGATAGCGCTCGGTCGGGTTGAGAAGCAGCAGGTTCTGATGAGTAAGACACAAGTGCTTTCAAAGGGAAATCTAGCAGAAAAGGTTCTTTGCAATAATATGTGGCTCCACTAGTCTGAACATGGCACTCTGATTAATATTGCATTTGTGCAAGAAGAATTCAACAGATCAATCTATGCCATTTTGCCCACCCTCTATTGTCGACTGACACTGACATCAAACTGCCCTCGGGCTTGCATAGCGAGTGCCACACACGGCCAACCCCTGAAAACAGGTGAGCTGTGTGTCACTAGTCGGCCTGGTGCCCTCTTCTGTGATTAAATAAAAAAAAAATAATTAAAAAAATTGAAACACATTTCCATAATTACTACCGTAATACAGTGACCCCTACAATGCATGTGAATAGGGACTGAGCCCCTGCTTGGAATAGTGGGAATAATCACCTCCCCTAAGGCAAAAGGTTTATTCTGTACTGCTTTGAATGCTGGCAAACGACTACTTTTATCGAAATAAAGGTCTTTAACCCCACCATATTGGTCAGGATTTTTCAGCAAACGACACAGGATACGTAAAAAAAATAGTTTGTCAAGTTACAAAACTTAAAACATGCAGGGGGTTTGTTGTCTCTAAATTTTATGCAACAATGTCATTGGATTGTGTTTGAATTTTACCTTCATAAGATCCAACATCAAACCGCTTAAAATGCCTTGGTACCTTCTCTCCAACGTCTGAGGATGCGTAACTGAGGGAAACTGAGACACACACATGCACACACACACACATCCACACGTTAATCCTTGATTTTTTTATTATTTTTTTTCCCTGCTTGTCAGATGTTCTAATTGGCTAAGGTCACACATCACTCGAGGTCTGTATCACAAACAAGCAATCTACTGCACACACTCTCACGCACGTATTCATAGTAGGCCTTTTCTCCTGTGCTTAGTTTCTATGAGTCACAGCACTGCACTCAGTCATGAAGAAGCGAGAGAGCGATTAAGAGAGTGAAGACCGACGAGGAAGAGGGGGAGGAAAAATTATGCGAGGAAGACGACACAAAGGAGAAACGACCAGTATGTTGTACCCTGATTCCGTGAAAGCGAGGGTTGTTGTAGAAGAGTTTCATCTGCTCAGCAGGAAGTGGCCCAAGGACCTTCTGAATAGTGAATAGCTGTAAATAATAAAAACATACAATCATTTGGTGATAATTTGATAGATATTGTGGTGGGGGGTGGTGTGATGGGGCTAAGGAATTAGGATTGGAATTCATCAAAACCTTACTTACTGGTGTGCGTGCATCAGGTGTCCGCACGTTTGATTAAAACAATTTTTTTTTTTGCGCACACTAAAGTTCAGTTTTACAAACGAATTCAGACCCTCTTTGATAAAGAAGACCCCTGGACACTACTTGTAGCACTAAAATGCCTACTAGTAGTAGTCGTTTTACTAGTAAGATTACTAGTAAGTTATCGTCGTAGTAGGAGGAGTAGTAGTAGTTGCCATACTGATGGGCAGAAATGTTGTTCAGTCGTTGAAGGCCATGTAAGCATTTATTCCTTTGTCCATCTAAAGCTTTATGTACTGTACGAGTATGCTCTTTGTCCTCACTCATAGGACATACGTATTAGGCATTTTAGTATGACAGGTACATGTTACAGGTGAGGTAAAACTGCACAAGTTGACATCTGTGTGTTACTAGTACTACGAGTGAAATGTTAGATGTTAACCAGTAGAATTTGGTTTGGAGTGTGTGGTGTGCAGATGTCAGCAATAAGTACAGTATACAGTTTATGCCAAAATGCCAGGAGGAGGAGGACAAGTGTGCAGAAATGTCATGTAGAAGTAGAAGGCAGCACTGGGGGGGAAAAAAAAAACATTCAACACACACACAACACAATAATTGCTCCCTACTCTTTCTTGTAGTGCGATGAATTGTCTTACTAGTGAAGACAGAGAGCATTATAGTACATGGACCTTAAACTAGACATGAAGGATATCTAATAAATGCAAAACGCTTTTCTGACTTCAGTGGAGAAAATTTGGATCTGCAATATTATGATTGGATTAACTTTCTTCTCTTTTTAAAATGATCACCTACTCGTAAAAGAAGAACGATTAATAAGATATGCTTAGTTCGAATGCTAAAATATTTTATTTCAGCGGGGTGGAGGGGAGGGTGTTAACAAACCTGATCAATCTCGCTTTCCCCTGGAAACAAAGGCTGCCCGTCGCTCAGTTCCCCGAGGATGCACCCCACTGACCACATGTCCACCGCCTTGCCATAAGGAGCCCTGACATGACAGGATGAAGAAAATGTGCCACGTCGTTAACAGCGCATTATGACCTCAGCGAGGAAATGAGAAAACACGGGTGGCGGCGCGAAAAATGAAGAGGAGAGAGAAAGAAAAAAAAATGTCATTGGTGCAGGGAAATAAAAAGTGATATGGTGTGCGATGGGAAGTGATGCTCATAAAGCAAACGGTCATTTGCAGGAGAGTGGTGAAAAAAGGCGAGCGATCTGGCAGTAGCTGAGCAGAGGTGGTGGTGGTGGAAGAGAAGATTTGAGGGGGCGGTATTCAAACAGCGTCTCAATAAGTGTTCCAGGGCATTTGCTAAATCAGGCAAGCGCACCGAGTCTACGTGACTTCAGCTATCTCCCAGCTAGACTGGACTTCTTATGCAGAACATCACATTTAACACAACATAGCTGCCTAAACACAATAATTTGATCTCAAGACCAAAAAGGTTAATGTTGTTGTGGAGGGCAAGTCGGTGTAAGCGCACGCAATATCGATAAAAAGACAGGATAGCATGCTGATCTCCACCAAGGCTTTAATACTGTATTTGTGAAATGTGAAATTGGCAAGTGAACGACGAGAATGATGATGTTAACCCTTACACACTGTTCATTTTCCAGGGACACGTGTGATGTTTCATCGTAATTGTAGATATCATTTGTGAGCTACAGTCTGTCTGATTTCTAAAAGAAACGGATGATTAATACACAATTCAACTCAAAGGAAATATGTATTTTTTTGTGTTTAAAAATTTGCTCCTTGAGCAGGGTTAAATTTGCTCCGGTTTAAGCTGTTTTCAGGGGCTACACCGGTGTAACTTTGTACGTGTGAATGCTCTACGGGGGCAGCCTCGGTGCTGCACCAGAGCAAAAGTTGCCGTGTGAACACCCCTAAAGGGAACTTGTCCCTGTTGAGGTACCCCAGCTACAAGGGGCTGTTTTGGGAGGAGGAGCAGTAATGGTCGAAGAATCTAGATATTCTTTGTGTTAAGTGGCCCAAACTATTTGTAAATGAACAAAATTTTATGCTGCCTGTTACCCTTATAAACAGTTTTTTTTTTAACTAATGCTTCTGAAATAGCGTTGACAAACTGTGATTCAGCAATAACAGAAGTTCGGTTAAAATAACGATGACGGACTGACAGATTGGAGGGCCGCGGGCCAGCGATGACTGGAGGACTGGCAAAACTTATGTATGATTATTATTATGTTATTTTACGCTTTCACTGTTTTGAGATTCCCCCATATCCCATGAAAGCCCAACAAATGCATGTTTTGCAAATGTGCAGGGACACAGAAAGTTCTCAAGACTGTTTCAAGTCCCCCTTGAAACCTGTTCCAAAAAAACAAACAAAAAAATGAAACATATCTGGAATGTAGTTTTATTTTCAATACCATTGATGCCAAACTGGTTAATTTAAAATTCATTTAAGGAGACATATAACAGCCTTACTCAACACAAATTTTGTTGCACCTGTACGAAAGAATTACATTTTATTTTTAGGGGGTATTTTGGGTCATCTTTGAGAGAGGAATCAAATTTTGAGGTGAAAGACTGACATTAGGGTATTTTTGTTGCTGTCTAATGTCAAAACAGGTCAAATCTGACCCCGATAGTAGATGAAGGTTAAGAGTTAAAAGTTCAAGTTTAAGATTCAGATCTAGAATAGACAATGCAAAGCGATTTTTCATGCACACAAAATACAAAATTCTATCGACAACTGTTTCTGATGTTGGTTCTCTCATATCACCAAACAAACCAAAAAACACTCTTGAGTATATCGTATTTCCATGCGTAGGGTTCATGTTAATCGGTGTTCAACCTTCTTACTAGTCCTCACTCACCCAAGCAGCAGTTCTGGTGAGCGATACCACCTTGTGGCCACATACTCAGTGTAGTTGGCATCGGTTCCTTCAGAGAGATTACGTGCAAAACCTGAGCCAAGGAAACACAAGTTAATAAAAACAAACACATGTTTTTGCTGATTGCATATCTATCTATCTATCTATCTATCTATCTATCTATCTATCTATCTATCTATCTATCTATCTATCTATCTATCTATCTATCTATCTATCTATCTATCTATCTATCTGAAATGTAGATAGATAGGTTTTCCTTTGTTTTTGGAGCACATGTGTGTATATGATGTAGTGATACGATACAGTGGGAAGTGACGGAGTTCAGAAAGTAGCAAAACATGCCACTACGTTGTCGCAGGCCTCCTTTATGTCCAACCCCGCTACATTGGCAGGAAGCTGAATTGACATATTTATAAGCTATGACAAATTGTGTTCCTACATAATATATAAAAATCTGTAATTCTCAAAGAAAGTGGACAACCAGTTCCCATGAAAACAAAAAGCCGGGTCTGGTTCATACTGGAAGACGTGCCCATCAATCACACAAAGGGGCCTCGGAATAAGGTGGCTTGAATTGAGCATGTATGAAAATGCATTACTATGTGAGTAATAGCTCACCAAAGTCACAGAGCTTGAGGACATCCTCAGAGCTGATCAGCAGGTTCTCTGGTTTGATATCTGGAGGAGCGGGAGATCCAAACACAAATTAATGCCACATTTTCGCGATTGATAAATGTATCCGAATCTGGAAAAAAAGCCCACCCACTTTTTTTAATGTTATTTTTTTAAGTAATACTATTCATGAAAAATATAAGGGACATTTGGTTTTTGGTTGAAATTTCAGGAAGACCCCGATGTGAATATATATGAACTTCACAGGTGAACTAATTTGGACATTTTGAATCCACAAGTCCAACTCTTCAGTGTTCAAACGTGCTGTTCTCCAAAAAAGACTAAAAATTCACAGCATGTGTTAATGATGAGAAAGGAGGTTAAATCAAGTTCACGTATATGTGTTACTGGGTATTTTAGGTTCACCCAAAATTTTCACCCAAGAGGACTGGCACAAGACACAGAAAACCATTAACACACCAATTAAAAGAAAAAAAAATATTTTCACCTCTGTGCACGATCTCATTCTTGTGACACCAGTTAATGGCTTTGATAAGTTGGTAGATGTAGCTTCGCACTTTATCTGGGGCTGCACCATTTGGAAGTTCCTCCAACAGCTCCAGCATGTTCTGAAAGGCGTAGTCAACGATTTGACATTAAATGACTTCTCCAGGCAAACGTTAACCATCCATTTTTGATTGCAAGTGTTTTCTTTCAGGGTTGTGTGGCAGCTGGGGTCCCTCCGTTTAGACAAGAGTTGTTGTCAGTCGATCCGCAGGGACCAAGCGGCATATGCATGTGGTGTGAAACAATTTGATGGTCATTCATATTCTGAATGTTTTGCATTGGTGCTCTCGACTGAGTACCATTGTAGGCGAACGTATGATTTCTTTTACAGTAACCCCCTGCCTATTTGTGGTTCAACATCACTTAAAGGATTGCTTTGTCGCCACCTTTTGGCATCCTGATGCCAAGGAACTATGTTGAAGTGAGCTGAGGAGCTCAATTTAGGCAAAAGTGGCATTTCGCCACCACCTATTGGCAAGTTGGTTCCTACCAACTGTGTTGAAGTGAGATGATGAGCTTCATTTGGACCACTGATTCTCAGTGTGTTTTGCGTGCTCCCTCTTCATGGTAGCGAAAGAATCATTGAATTAAATGTTGAAACCTTGCATCTATAGTGGACTTGATACCGTGGCAACATAGTGAGGGAATACCATTATTCACTGAAAGGAAAGTTAATATGTTGCCATGGCGATGCCTTTTTTTATGTGTAACTGAGCAGCCTCATAAAGCTGAAACCTAAAAATGTGGATACGGCACAGTGAGAATATCCACACTCTCCAGTGACAGATAAAAGTGCGCACCCTCTCTACGTATTCAAAGACGAGGTAGAGCTTCCCCCTGCGGCGAAAGGCTTCCTTCAGCTCAACGATGTTGTCCTGCTTCAGTGTGCGAAGCATCTTTAGCTCTCGAAGGGTCGTCTCCTTAACCTCCTCATTTTCTGCGTAGACAAATAAAACAATAACGATGAAGGAGGGGATGATGGTGATGATGCTCCTTTTCCTTTGTGTTTGCCATTGTTCTGGTCACCTTCGCTGTCTTTGAACTTCTTGATAGCCACCAGCTCATTGGTTTCCTGTCAATACACAAGCATATGTGTCAAAGCCATGAATGGATGCTATGAATATGTATGAAAAAAAAACAATTCTCAGAATGATAATCCTTAGTGTCTCATTAAACACGTGGCAGAATCTGAGCATGTTCTCGTTTTACAATACTCAGAATGATAATCCTTAGTGTCTCATTGTAAACACGTGGCAGAATCTGAGCATGTTCTCGTTTTCCTGGCTACGCACTTGATGCCTCACAATGGACAGGAATTGATTCGCTGTATGAACAGATGGACGGATATGTAAAAACTATGCAGAGGGGAACAATTTAACTGAATTTAACAGATCGAGTACTTCCAGTATATAGCGACAAGAAGCAATTATTTCACCGCAGGGCACCCACACAAAGAGCAAAACAAGAATAAACCATCACATGCTGGCATAGTTAAAATGCATCTTCGGTCCCTTCGGATTCTTTGTACATGTTGGTCCCGTGACCCCGCTGAATTCAAATTTCTGGTCAAGTTCCAGATTCAGCCTTTCAACGTGGCTTTTGCTGTCCTCCGATGATGTGCTCAGGATTTAACACATCCCACATTTACTGGAACGTCTTGGAGCACATTCACAGACAGCTTCAACAGAGGCCTGTATTGTTTTTTTTTGTTTGTTTTTTTCTTCAGCAAACATGCACAATAATCTTCAAAATATTTTTTATATTTTTATATTTTGCGACGCACTTGGGGGTGGAGGCTCCTGCAGAATTTCGTTGTAACAAGTGTGCAATGACAATAAAGTATTCATTCATTCATTCATTCATTCAAAATAGTCTTGGAACCATGGCTTCAAACTTGATTAATGTCATTGATAGACCGACTATGAAATCTACTCAGTTATACTATCACAGAATGTTGTACAGATCAATGGATATGCTGTTGATATTTCCCACTTGCTATACAGAATGTTACATAGATCAATTGATGTACTGCAAATATTTCTCACTTGTGGAATAATTTTTACAAAATTACGAACGTCCAAGTATGATGATTTCAAGCACCAAAATACAATTCAATAAATGTTAGGTTCCCCCCCCCCCACCCCCTAAATCAAACTTAAAATACCCTAAAGAAATCAGCAACATTATTCACTTCAACCTGGAACCAGAAATTATTTTACTCAATTACAAAAAATACGCATAAAATGTCTGCTTTTGTATCGGAACATCAAATGCACAGCCTGCCACTGCCACCACATTTTATGCAGACAGAAATAATCACAAAAAGACCAATTTTTACAGTGGAGAGGAAAAAAAAAACACCGATGTTTCCGACATTTAGGAATCACCAAAAAGGCAAAAATAAAAGCGAGATGACCACCAGTCAGCTATGAATCATTCTGTGTGCAAAGGGGAGTCTTGCATGTGGGAGAAAAGACAACACTTGCACTCATCAAGAGGTTACACACACACATTGTCTGATCATGTGATCAAACAACACCCAATAAGTGCTGGACAACAATTCCGTTTATCTTGCCTCCATGGTGAAAAGTGATTCATGTCAGTATCTCTCTCAAAGATGTCAGCTTACACAGTGGAAAAGCCCTCGTTTTAAAGGGTAAGCCGGTTTTTTTGGGGGGGTGGGGGGTGCAGAGGGGTCTTCCATGCTCTTTGTTGTTGGCTTGAAATGTCATCAGGTTTATCATTGATTTGGGTGTTTCGTGATAGTTATTTGTTTTATTTTACTTTTTAATTTTTTTAAATTTATTCATCCATTGTTTGATCTGCTGCTACAACATTTCAAAGGAACTTGTGTCAATAATGCATGGTCACAAAAAGACAAATTTGACATGAAATAAAGGCTTTGCATCTTATTTTGTTTTGTGCTGTTTTTCGAAATGCATCTTTTATATTATAATATTATAAGCAGCAGACAACAATCACATTTTTTTCCTCCCGATTTCAGAATCAAAATCATCTGCATTGGTCGAGTGTGTTAAAAATACACAAGGAATTTGAATTGGGTAGTTGGAGTCAATCAAATCTTGTGGTACAGAGTGACAGAGCTGGAAAGATGAAATCAGTAATGATGGCACTCTAGAGATTTGCAAATTGGCATCTCATAATGAATAACAAGTCTCTTAGTTAAAACGTTAATGACACAGGAAGTACTGGAATGTCTGCTTGTTATGGTGTCCATGGAACAATGCAATAGTACCGACCAGAGGGAAGGAGCTGGTGGGGTCAAAACTCTAAGTGGTGTCCATTTTCTTAGTTCCACACTTGGTCAGAATCAGACCATGTCTAAGTGGCCTGCGCAGGGTAGACGTGACGTATTGCATTGATGAATAAGCAAACAATATGTCTCAAACCCTCGGAATCATTGTATGATATTTTTGAAAACATCCCACTTGTCGGCACAGCTATGGATGGGAGGCAGTGGGTCGGGGGTAAACGAATGATCAGGAATGGGAATCGTTCTCCAAGTTCCCGCTTCACATTGTAAATGCGCTTAGTTTGCGAATAGTGTGCCGGATTTAAAGGGAATTAGTTGCTTTTATGGGCAATGACGGAACTAGTTTGTGACCGCTCCCACAGCGGCGCAGCCCTCCACTGGCCTGCAAAATGACCAATATTGACCCTAACCCACTGCAACTAGTTCATGGTCCAGACTTTGCTCATGATAGTGAGGGGTACGGCTTTGGTCAGAGACTCGAGGGAGGTTAGGATGAGAGAAATGAGACTGCATTCAAATCCTGCTAGCAGTTTTACTGTGGCATAAACTTCCAGGCGTAAAGTCCAGTTTGGCTGTCTTTACATTACCTACGTATAATACAGTTGAATGTTATTTGCACGGCTTACAATGAAATGAAATATATTTTTCAGGAATAAAACATCCGCCCTGTTTTTGATTAACTCATGATGGTTGAGAATTAAACATTTGAGAACCACTAGCATAGATTCTTCTGATTCTAATTCTAAAAATGCCCCAATTAGAACAAAATCGATACTGAGATTTAATGATTGAGTCGCGGGCAGGAGAGGGACTAACGAGAACTACAGGAGATGTGAGTCTCCTTCGGTCATCTCTTGTGTTCCAATGCCTCTCTGTTGTGCTGTCTTCGAGAGGGGTCAGACAACAGAGGTGCCTCAGTGTTGGTGGTGCATAGCAAGGGGCTGGCAGCGAGATCTCCCACACAAACCCACTGTTTGGCTCAAGACGCTTCAGAGAGCGAAAATAAAAACCCACATCATGTTAACATGTTGTCTGAGGAGAGAAAAATAATTCACTGACAGGTTCTTGCAGCAGAAGCTGAAGGCAAGCGGATGTGAATTGCAGAGGGGGACTTCCCCATTATCAGCGCTCACGCGTGATGCGTTCGAGCGCTATGACAGCATCTCGGAGGGTGCTGACGATTGTTTTAATCCTGTGCGGCATCTCTGACCTTCACTCATCAGCCTTTGGAGCCACTGTGGTGTCAGCAGAGTTATAAATAACCACTGACTTTTATTCTGCTTAGGACATGAGCATTCTTAAAGCAGTTTAAAACTTGATGATTCTTGCCATTTTGTGCACAGTGATACAGAATACACAGGTTTAGCTTTTTTTAATTTATATTAAAAGTTGATCACACGTTCATGTTTTATTCTTAAGTTAACTAATAACAGTATTCTGCTGCTTTATTTTTTTGCCAATGTACATATTTGTTTGCCCATGTGTGATGTCACGCACGTTTATGTCACTGTGTTCTTGAGGCGAGTATCCTACTCTAGCTAATAGACCAATGAGCCTGATGTGACGGCGGTTTGTTTGTGTTGCATTATTGAACTACTGAATCCAGTCACTGATGAAACACGGGTTCATTATCGTGTGGTACACTAACAAACACAAAGTGCACGTGTTCACAATCAGCAGCAGATTTTTGATTCAGCATAACTTCTATTTACAACGGCATTTGACTGTGTTTCATCTGATTAATTCACAGGTCACTCTAGCACTGAGAAATTGGCGTCAGGAAACACTGGCTAGCATGTAGCTTGTGCTATTATCACTCCCAAATTGAGGATAACACATAAGCCTCCATACACACACCCACATACGCTACAACACTTAGACAGAGTGGTAGAACATTGCACAAAAGCTGGCACGCGTTTGCTCGCCTAATTAAATATTCCCTCCAAGTCGCACCATAGCGTACAAGAATACATTATTTAGATGTACACATTTGGAATGCATTAAGTTAAGTGCCATCACAGTCACTCACTTAGGTCACGGACCAGTAGCTTTTGCGCGGTTTCCTGTGTTCGTATGATTGACTCAAAGCAATTCCAGCTCGGCTTTCGGCTCTTAATCGGGTGACCCACTTAGTATCGGCAAGGTCTACATATTCAATTCAGTACCTCCTCCATTCCATCGCGTGCATGCTTCCAAGCATGCTCACTCTCACGTTGCTTCTCTTGTTTGCGCCCTCCTACCCCGTTTGTCTTTTCCCACCATTCCAGCTGAGAAAAGTAAAAATAACTGCTCTTGTACAGTAATTGTACGACTAATCCGGTCAGGGTCTGGCTTCACGTGAACATGAATTGCATCGGCTTCATGTCAAAGGGAATCATGCGGCAGGTCGCTCCTTCAGAAAAGCAACAATCAGCTGCCTGCGTCTCCACTCAACATGTTTCAACAGCATGACATGGAATGATAAGAAACATCATTTGACGAGCTCATACTGAAAATACTCAAAATATATTAGAAAGTAACCCGATGTTGCAACCCTGTTAATGTTTTGGAAGTAAAAGCCATGTGACTGAATAGAAAAAAAATGATGTGCTGCTCATTTGTGGTTACACGAGACGGAAATACCACCCATCCATGCATTCGTTTTTAGTGATCACGGGTCACTGGAGCCTATTCCAGCTGACTTTGTGCGAGAGGCTGGGTACACCCTGGACTGGTCACCAGTCTATTACAGAGTATTACAGAAATAGCGTACAAATCAAATCTATGAGAAATCCCTCTGTAGTAGAAATTGGTCACCCCAAAAGCTGGTAATTGATTAAGAGAAGTAGAACAGACTCGTCAATCCTATGTGGCCCTTTTGCAGCTCTTACTAAAATTAAACAATTCATAGGATCACTCCAGTAATAGGATTTGGATATTTGTGTTAATAATAGCTAGAGTAATCTTCCTTTAACTCCAATCTCAATTTGGTCACAACATTGCCTATTGAATAAAATATGCTTTCGAAACACGATGGGAAACACTGACCTCCATTTACAACCTAGATTTAAATATTTGATCAATAAAATGGAATAAATCTATTCCTACCAATATATTCTCTCCACTTTGAGAGTTTCTTTTGGCTGCACCGCTTCCACTACTTGTATGCGGATGATGAATTTGATGTCCAATCAGATGTCAGCCTTTATGTGTTACCTTGTCATTCCAATCTGCCTGGGGGCCCATGTAACTTGTAATATGTACAACGTACCAAAGTTAGCAAGGTGGATTTTCTTGAACCAATCAGATTTCAAATGTATCCTCACAAGGCCAGAGCACTGGCCCTTGATGATGTCAGCAGTTTTCTGTCCTCTGATTGGTTGATCAAAGTAAGCCAAGTTAGCCTGACAAAACACAGCTGTTGCAATCTGCCCCGATTATTCAGTTCATCCTGAAATTCCACCCGAAAGCACAATATCTCTCACGTTTTGTCAGGGTGGTGTTCACCGTCAATTATTCTGTTGGCCCTCTGGCCACTCTGGCATGTCCTGTCGAACAAAATCTCATCTTCCCTTGCATTTCAATTGGAATGTAACTTCTGTAAGAGGGCCTATCAATTTGTGCGAGTGCAATTCACTCACGCAAGACGTCACAACCTGGCAACATTGCCGATGCTTTGATAAACATACTGCTGAGAAACCGCAGGCAGAGGAAGACACACAAGCATTCATTCTATAAAGGCACCATTGGAAGTGCAATTCTTGTCAAATCCATGAATGTCTTGTATTTGGAAACTTCCTTCAAAAGAGCTTCTGGGAATCAATCAAATTGTACATGAATCTGAAAATAGACATTCATCCTATTCTACATAATTTTCCCACTGAACTCTGTTGTAGTTTAACCACAACAAGGATGCCTCAAATACAAACTGTGAAATTTCATGTCATAGAAATACATGATAGACCTGCAGTGATGATAATTCTTACCTTATGTCTGCACTTGAGCACCACTCCATATGCGCCTTCATAGAGAAACAGAAAAAGAGGATCAATAAGACATGAGTCTGTGTGTGCTTTAAAGGTGCAAACTCATAATTATGTTGTGGCCTCCCACACATGCACGAGGTGAGAAGCAGCAAAATAAAAATACCGACGCCGTTCGGCATACTCTCCCAAACACTTCTTTCACAGTTTTTACTAGTACTGCATTGCCTTAAATATTGCACATGCAGATATCACAACACTGAAAATGAAAACTAATTCCACTAATTATTTTATTGATTTTCTGAAACCCTTTCTTATAAACAATATGTTCTATGCAGCCCCAGTAGTCTAAACACGGTACACCGATTAATATTGTGTTTGTGGAATATGAATTAAGCAGCAAAATCCACCGTTTTTTTATTCATTGAGGGGGCGGTGGCCCCGGGCATCCTCCTGAGTTGTCTCATTGCACTCTCAAAGAAAAAATTTGACTGGGCAGCGGTACAATACAACGCCACACACTAAAATACACTTGATACATGTGTATCAACCTGCCAGATATGTAACGTGTGTCTAAGACATCAACAGTAAATCTCGATATCGTTCGTCCGGAACACCCGCAACCTCCCACTCCACTTTGCACGCATTGCCTTTTAAGATAAGATAAGATAAGATATGATAAGATAAGATAAGATAAGATATTATCTTTATTTGTCCCACACTGGGGAAATTTACAGTCTACAGCAGCAAAATTGGGGGGAACAAAGTGTTTCATTGCACAAAATAAATGTTTCAGAAAAGAACTGTATATAGTTCAATATAAGTGCAATATAAAATAAAGCATTAGCAATATATTTGTAGAATAAATATAATAAATTAGCAAAAGCATAGAAAAAAATATATATCGTAGGTTATGATGGTCATATTTGGAGAACTGAGTATTTTGTGGTGTAAAATAGATGACATGATTATCATTGTTGTTTGCTGGTTTCATCTGCACAGTGATAGAAATCTCACTCACACAACGTAAGCACACCAGGGGTATCATAAAGATGAGATGAGAATGACCTCTGGCCCCAGTGGCCAAGGCACGTGCACGCCTCATGTATGAACACATGCAATAACATCCAGCAACTCACCTTCACCCACAATGCCAAGGACTTCAAACTTATTCATCACATCACCGTTTGGTGGAGCTTCTCCAGCAGGTGAAATGTGACGCTTGCGTTTTAGCGATGACAATCTTTCCGTGAGATGGAGATGGAGGCAACTGTAGAGTCCACGACAAATGCGGTGAGCCTCTGACCACACCCCATCTTCGTAAGTCCTCTTTGTCTTCACGTCCCCCGCTGCTTCAAGCTACTGCTCTGGTGCATGTAAATGTCATTTTCTTTTATTTATGACTCCCGTTTTCTTCAGGTTATTCCTCTCTCAGTCTTTTTGAAGGTTCCACTCAGCTGTGCCTGGAAGATGAAAACAAACATGCCAAAGGTCAGAATACTGTTTGCTGATGAGGGAGCGAAGGATTGCAGGCGTACTTGTTTGCTAATATGGTTTTGGCATGTAACTGTAGAAACTATACAACAGTCAGTCTAGGGCCATAATGATTTTGTTCACTGTACTTGTTAATGAGGTACCTGAGCTTTGCTTGTGATTTATTTTTCTCACAATTTTGGCCTTTTACTCCCCCATTTGAAAACAGATAACTGTACTTTCTACTCCTGACCCTATTGGGTTCAGAGTAATGCATCAGATTTATGTGACGCTTTTCTGGAGAACCGGACACTCAAAGCGATCACAATGGCTACATTATTCATGCACTCACACACTCACATTATGGTGGTGGTAAACGATGTTCTCGAGCCATAGTTGCCCTGGGGCAGGCTGACGGAAGCATCGCTGCCAGAGTTGCGCCTACGGCCCCTCCGACAACCACAAAACATTCACATCCAGCCATGCACCAGTGTGAGTGGCACTGGAGGCTGTGTCTTGCCCAAGGACACAACACATGACACAGAGTGGGAATCGAACAGTGGACCGTCCGGTTACTGGCCACTCCTACCTGTCAGCCATAGCTGCCCACACCCTGAACTGGTTGCCAGCTAATCGCAGAGAACACATACATGAACAACCATTCACGCACACAATCACACCTAGGAACAATTTAGTGTGTTCCATTAACCTGCCATGCATGTTTTTGGAATGTGTGAACAAACCCGAGTACCTGGAGAAAACCCACACAGACACAGGGAGAGCATGCAAACTCCACACAGGAAGGCCGGAGTGGCATCAAACCTTGCACCTCTACACTTTGAGGTCGGACTTGCTAACCAGTCGACCACCGTGCTGCCGCAGCTTTTGTGAAAGCACTATATACATCTATCTATACCGATATATATATATATATATATATATATATTCTTGCTAACCTCGACCACCGTGCTGCCGCAGCTTTTGTGAAAGCACTATATACATCTATCTATACCGATATATA